CCTCCTTAAACTTATGTTCATCCCAGGATGTGACTGATTGTATTACATGCTTAGAGGATTACAAAGATAACTTATCATCAAAATCTAATTCATGTGGTTGCTCTTTGTGTTAAAGAAACAGTGCCCTCTTCTGATGATGAGAATGTTGTTCTGTCATGTCCGTTTGACTCACAACATCCAGATCATGTGGTTGCGCTTTGTGTTAAAGAAACGGTGCCCTCTTCTGATGATGAAGAAACGGTGCCCTTTTCTGATGAGAACGTTGTTCTGCCATATCCGTTTAACTCTGTTCCCCACGAACCGGCAATGGCCAAAATAAGGATTTCCAACTTTATATTTTAATTTCGTATATGTATTTGAGTATTTTTCGTACTTACTTTATCAATTTAAAATTTCCAAACATATTAATGTGATGAATGGAAAAGAAAAGAAAAAAGATCTAATTCATGATCGATGGATTGCATCTAATGATTTTGCTTATATGGAGAACTTAATCTATCCTCTCAAGCTATCTTTCCAAATATTTCGTTTTTGGTAAACCGATATTTTATAGTTATAACTACCATTATTAACAGTGCTGTATAAAAAATTTCAAATATTCAAAATAACATCACAATTTTAATTTTTTTTTTCATATTTTTAAAAAAGATTCCAAAGATTTTCTCTGATTTTCTTTTTATTTTGGAAAGAGAAAAGTTTATTTTGATGAAAAGAAAGGTTTTTTTCTTTCGCTTAAGTCTGAAATCAAATTTGAGTTTTTTACTTAAATTTTTTCTTACTTGCTCAAAGAAGAGAATTTTATACTCAAAAACACTATTTTAGACTTATATTACAAAATAACACATTTTTAGCTATTGACACATTTTTTTTATATATAAAGACAATATAATCCCTCTTTTTTTTAATTATTACGTTGGTGACATTCGGATTAGAAATTTTTTTGAGCTTTTGTTAACAACACCGATTAAAATCAAGAGCTTTCTTCCTTTCCATCGTTGATCTATATTTTGATTCGCTTAAATTTTGTCATTTGCTCAACAATGGAAAGTATGCTTCGATGGCACTCGGCAGCGATGAAATCAACGATGGAGAGTGTGCCTCGCATAGTGATTGGGGGAGATAAGGAAAAGTCAGATGAACAGATTTATGGGTTCAAGTAAGCTTTTAGCCTCTCGCATGTGTTTCTTTCTTAGGTGATTAAGTGTGTTTTTTTCTTGTGTGATTGAATTGATTGTTAATTCTTTTTTGGTGTCATGTTTGGTTCATCTCTTAACTTAATTTTGATTGAAATTGACTTGTTATAGCTTCCAAATCTGCATTTACATGACTGTTAATCAACATAGCCTTACTATTGAACTTGTGCAGTTCATGTGTGCCAGTGATGTTGAAATTTGATGATTCTTGGTTCTTCCGCCATTTTTCTAATCTTTGGTAATCAAAGTTGTATAATTCACTCAACACAACCCGATTGCAGAAATTTGTAAAAGTAAGAGAGCAAATCATGAATGGATAAAAGGACATTAAACCACGGACACAATCAAAGATAGCAATATCTGGACATAAACCATGAACATAATACAAATGGATAGCAAACCGTGGACACAAATAGATGTTGTGTGTTTTCAATTTCGTGTTCTTATATCCACCACTACTGTTCATGGGTTTCTGTCTATTCTGGGTATCCATGCGGTGTGTCCATGAAAATGTGTCTACTACTACGTCCATTAGCTTCTTTCAACTCAAATATATAGGTGCTCATATGATTATTAACCTCTTCACTTTTTCTCCCACTAGTACGAATAATTTCTTGATTAATCCTGCAGTTTCTTATACAAACCGTAATAGTTTATACATAGTTTTTTTGTGCAAACTCTTTTGGTTGTGTATGTTTAATTTTTGTCCATATGATTTGTGTCCATTATAGAGGTAGCTTTGTCCATGTGTATGTATACACATATAACACGGTTGTTCATATATGTGTTATTTTCAGGTTTGCATATCATCTGGAGCTGCTGCTGCTGCCATTTTCCTCAAGACACCATGGACAAAGCACCATGAACAAGGAAACATGGATAATTATATATGGACTTGTAGTTTGCTTAGCTAAATGTCTTTACAGATTTGAATGGTATATAAATAGTTGCAGATATTCCGATGCCTTTATGTCAGTTTTTGTATTTTACATTAACTTTCCAAGAGGATCAAGACATAAGAACAAATACCCTAATTGTAACATTTATTTTCATCTCTTGTTGAATCCCAAAGGTCCTTAATTTAGAACAGTTTATTTTTAAGAATACACAAGGAATCATGCAAAATAATTCAAAGGAATAGAGAAGAGTAGAGGTGTTCCCTTCTTTATAAAGAGAATGGAGTGTATGTCTGTCCACAGTTACTTTTTTTTAATCAAAAACATTCTTCCAATTACTTGTCTTAATCGTGTACCACATAACCTTGGACAAGACACTGTGGACAAGGCACCATGGTCAAATGATCATGGACAAAGTATCAAAACTTTCACGACTACCATTATCATCGTTGATTTCTAAGTACCAAATGATCATGGACAAAGTATCTAAACTTTCACGACTACCAGTATCATCGTTGATTTTTAAGTACCAAATGATCATGGACAAAGTATCTAAACTTTCACGACTACCATTATCATCGTTGATCTCTAAGTACTCGAGTTTGGCACCATCGTCCATAAAAAGGTGTCTATGAGAAGGTGTCCATACAATCTGTCCATGAGAACGTGTCCGTGGGAGGGTGCCCATACAATCTGTCCACGAGAAGGGCCCATGAGAGGGTGTCCATTACTTTTGATCAAAAACATTCCTTTATAACATGTTTCAGCAACCATAAGACACAACTACCATTTAACATGAATGAAATTGTATGAACACATCATTATGGATGATGATCTTCGAGCATACATTTTCAAGAAGCCAAAATCGATGACTAAAAAATAATTCTTGCATCTTATTTTATCTATGTGACATTATCCACATGGCAGTATCCACATAGACATGATATCTAGGAACCTAACTACATTTTTTGGCACATTAGTGACAACAACAAGCCATCCATACATGGCCTTGTCATATGGATAGCCCAAAGTGGACACATTGAATAAAATGTATAACCATCCCTTTCATTAGGCTTGTCACTTGTGCAACCATATGGCCATTTCACTATATGGTCACCACCTAATGGACAGTGTCTCATGGACACTGATTATAAGACCATAAAATCCACTATTTTATATGCATACCTACAACACATGGATATAGCCTAGTGGACAAAGCCTGATGGTCAACTATCATCCATTTGGTCATTGTATCATAAATAAACATGTTATTAGACACTACACCGTGGACGGAGCTTGGTGGACAAATGTTAGTGGACGCCAGTTATAAGTCCATATAGTTCTCTCCACCAAAACTCTACGTGAATGTATCCATACATTTTTAGCTATGGTGGATAGATTCATATTCATGTAAATAGATAATAGTTGTTTTATCCATTTGCATATAATGTCCATGCAATTTTTTCAGAAGCTCACTTCATGTGTTCATCCATAATAAGTTGTCCACGAGGTTAGGATATAGAGGATCAACATGAAGAACACATGCTTTCTAAATTTTATTTTCATTCCAACTATCCATGTAATCATATCCATACCTACAATCTGTTATCGTGGATGTGGATAATTTCATCATCTTCTACGCTGAAACCCAGATTTTCTTTTGCAGGTGGATCGAACTCACCAACCTCGTAACCTAATAATCACTTTGCAAAATACACATAATCAGAATCTAAACTCTTCGAAATCAAAACAAAACACTAACTCAAACAATGAATCAGATGCAACCAAATTTTATATTTAAGAAATTTAAGATCCAAATTTTTTTATTTGAGAAGTTCAAAATCTTCAGATTTCTTTACATAAGCTTCAGATCTGTTACACAGGCTTCAGAAAAAACGAAGATAATTACTTTAAATGAATTTGTCCTATTTTGTAATTCAATAGAGATTTACTAATGCAGATCAGACTTCCAAATTGACGGCAAACTGTGATTGTTGTTAAGATTACAACATGTGAGCTCTTTTTTTCCGTAGACAAACAACGGGTGCAAATGGTTATATATGAAAAGAATAAGTTGAATCAGAGGAAAAGTAATAAGTTGAATAAAATTGAGTTGGATAATATTACTCAATGGAATGTAATGGTACTCTGCATTTTTAAGGAGTAACAAATTTTAGAGGAATGAGTAATTTTTCCTCTGATTATGTGGGTCCCACCAAATTTTAGCAGAATGTATACACCTTAAATGGTTAGCTTTCAGAAGAATGTAGAGGAATCACCCATTCAACTCTTTTTTTTTCCTCTAACTTGTCAACCATTTAGACCCAACAAGAAAAAACTAATGCTAATCGAAAATAAATCCACTTAACATGTGAGGGACAATTCAGGAAACAAGATGTACAAAATAAAAGATAAAGTGTCATAAACAGAATGTGTCTATTTTGTAAAAAGTGTGTACTTATGTAAACGTCTCCTCAAAGAAAGCTTTGATTTGATTTACTACTCACTTACAGGCCAAAAGAATATGCAGGCCCGTGCCGCCCGTCTCAAAACTTTTTTTTTTTGTGGTAAATGACAATTTTATTTATTTTTATTAAAAACATAAAACAAATAAATAAAATTTGTAAAGTAAAAAAAAGAATCATGAAAAATAAAGCTAATCATTGGAACATCTCAATTCATCTAAATCTTCTTACAACATCTCAGCGCCAAGAGAACAACAACAAACTCACCTGCAATGTCCGAATGATTTACACATACCCAAATATCTTGCCTAAACAAACCAATCTCATAACTAAATTAACCTTTTGTTTCCATCTAATCGGTTTCTTGCACTTTGCCATTTAAACACACAGAAAAATATCTTCAAAGCTGAAGACAATACCTGACATAGATTTTTTTGGGAATGAAACTACACGAACACAACCTCAAATTTAGCACAAGGGTTATGTTGAATGTGAGTACTTAGACTCGAGTTTCCCTCGAATTTGAAGTTGTACAAAGCTTGTCGTTGCGTGAGCCCAAGCGGGTAAATCCGGTGTACTCTAAGCTCATTGTCTCCTTTTAAGCTTCCAGGCCTTTCCTTCTTCCACACCGGCTCATGTTTTAAAGACTTGAACTTGGCGATAACCGCAGATTCTAGAGCTTCCTGAGTCAGACTTTTACCCCTGGATTGGACAAGAACATATTTATATCGTGTGTTTTAATTTAAGTGGGCAGTAAGGTAAACTTTCTTACCTTAGAAAGATGGATTCCATCTCAAACCGGCCTCTCTCTCTAACAAAAACATGATAAACTGTGTCTGATCCTCCCCTGGTGCACTTGCAAGGTCGTTTCTTGAAATTAGGGCTTTTCTCTTCTTGTTCTTGAATCCTCGTAGCCAGGAAAATGCAGAGGCGACAAGAAGAGTGTACAGCTGCCATATCAACAAGTGCCTTGAAAGAATCCGAGGGACCCTCATACTTCCATCTAAATCAAAACAGAAGCATGAAGCTTTCAAGAAGAAGTTACTACACACATTTACGATCATTTGTGGACAAAGACGGACCTTAATGTCTGGTTATAAGCAGCAGGATTAGCTGCGAGATGCTTCATTCTCTTTGCAACTGGCTCCACATCTTCCATACTCTTAATGTGAAGGAATGAGTCAGAAGCAGGAGCAAATTCTTCTATGTTCGGAGCACCAACAACCACAGGGACAGATCCTGAAAAAAAGACAACATTTTGTAGAAAACGAACAACCACTATTGTTAAGTAACTTATGCTACTCTTACAATATGCTCACAAAAGAGGGAGGAAAGCTAAAAAACATACCAGCAACTAGAGATTGGAAGAACTTCTCAGTTACATAATCCTCCTCGTTAGTGTTCTCAAAAGCCAAACTGAATTTGTAGCGCCTAAGAGCTTCAACCTTGTCAACTATATGAATTTCACAAAAACCGGATCACACATATCATATACTCTGTTCCAGCGTTGAGCAAAATTAGCTAATTTCTAATGCATACCTTTGCCATCCCGGTTCCGATGACAACCACCATAAGAATCAATCCTGACGCTGGTCTTCATCAGGGCTTCAAGTGCTTGCAAGCGAAAATTCCGAGCCCCACAATTGGAAATAAAAGCAGCTGCGATAGCTTTCTCGGTCTTTGGCTGTACCGGAGCCATTATATCATATTCAGCCCACGAAAAATACCCGACAGGAACATCTGATGATAGACTAGTGGTCATCACTATATCATAACCTCTCCTGATGAACAAGATTACATAATTGCAAGTGAGTCAAGTTTACGTACACTTCTACCAATAACAGTATGTCCTGAAACAAAACGTTAGGTACTGTTACAGATTGTGCTTACCCACCGTCGTGCCTGTGCGAGATCATTTTCTGGGTAGTACTGTGCTGATTCCATGGAGCGGATTATACCAAGAGTTCCATTTCGATAACTTAATCCAAAGGCAGCATCTGGTGTTTTACCTGAGCTATCTCCAAATGTGCAATCGACGGAACACGATTTAAAGTCCTACAATTGTTAGACAAGTGAAAAATCAATAACCCATCTTGAAGCAGAAACTAGAACTTAACATCAACCACAAGAGAGAACACGCATATGAAACTTATCATGAACAAATCATTCTTGCTCATTCCATGATCAAGTAAGTATGATCATCAGACAAAAAGGTTAGAAATTTTCAGTCCTGTTGAGTGTTGACTAGTGAATCTAATCCTATGATGAGCTTTAGGCAAAGTAAATGAACAATCCATCATCCTCAGATCACAGAGGACTTAACTTAAAAAGGTGTTTTTTAAGTTCTGTGGCGTTTTACCTTCTCACCACCGGAGATCAAAATCGGATCTTTAGTGAAATCCCTAGAATACGTCACTGAGTCTTCTCTCTTCAACCACTCCTCGCAGCTATCCGTCAGCGATCCGATCTTCCGGTCGGATCTCCTCGGCGGGGACTGCGAGAGCGACGGAGACTGAGTGAAGAAATCAGTCAACGTATCGACCAAAGCGACTTTATCGAGCCGACCCAGAAACCCGATCTCGGCGATGACTACTAGAGCCACGCATATTGGCAACAGATTCGACAGCTTTCGCTTAATAGATGAAGATGGAGAAGAAGACGGGGACGAAGAAGAAGAGCCATTTGTTACGGGCAATTCGTCGTGGGTAGCTCCAGTTCTGGGTCCTCGAAGATTGGAGAAGACACCCATGAAACAAGAGGACGAATCTCCCGTGAGGATAACCAAAAAAAGGCTTTGTTTTTCTTTTTGTGAAGAAGATTCTCTCGTTGGTTGATTAAAAGAGAAAAGATTTGGTAGTGTTTGGTTTAATGTTCTTTTTATTTCCAGATAAAGATTGAGAAAAATGAAATTAATACTTCTGTTTTGATTTTTAAGGCTTTGCTTCAAAGTCAATGCACAAGTTTACGGGTCATCGACGGAGCATTACATTCGCTAACGTATTTTGATTTTTTTTTTTTAGTATGTAATTGATTCATTTATCACATAGTCATTCGAGCAGCACAGCTTGTGACTTGTGTAGTCGTATGTTTTTTCAAATTGCTGAATAGTAAATCTTTTGCTCCACAAGAAAGCGAAACTTTAATAAAAAACTTAGCATTACAATAGCAATGGATTATATGGAGGTGGTCCAACTGAACGTGACACAAAAGTAGATACACTATTCCCTTAAATAATTAAATCAAGTTATAGAGCAGTAGAAATCAACATTGTGACAAACCAAACCAAATTATGGTGGTTCAGTGGTTCCCATTTCAATAGAATTTGTCTTATTGGTAGTGTTAATTCTATTTAGCAGTAACTTACATTTTGATATCTCTGCTTGTAGAGAATTGACTTTTCTATGCAAATTTTACATTTTTTGGGTTCAATATAAGCATTTTCTAACATACTTATTTCCCGAAGAAAATGTTTACAAAATACAATAACAAAACTAAATCGGCTAAATAATCCGATACAATAACAGTAAATCAGAAAGCTAATATATAGAAGATAAAAGCAAATATAACATTTAAACCACTAGAATTATGGAGAAATCCTTTAAACTCTACACCAATAGTGTTAAGAAATGAGATGCAATAATGAAATTTAGAAAACAAAATTACAACACAAAATGTAAAGATAAGATAAAGATACATGGAAAAGAGGAGAATAACAAGGTTTCGTACATCATGTAGAGAACCTGCTATCTCATTCAAATCCGTTCCCAACAAAAGAGAGAGATAACTAGGACATCCAAATTCGTTAACAATTATAGCACGGTAAAATCTGCAGAACCGGACTCCTCGAGTGCCAAACAAAGAGCAAAGAATTCTTGAAATATCAGAAGCAAAGATGATTGGGAGTATTCATTGAGCTTGGACCGAAGCATAGTGAGGTCCCAAAAGCGATCAACAACAGGAAAATAGATAAAGACATTGAATTCATCCTCCCAGTGACCAAAACTCTTGCATATCTTATTTCCTGAAGATCTTGACAAATAACAATGCCAATGACCCAATAGTACGAAATGAAACTAATGAGAATTTTTTAATAACATCCTTATCCTAAGGTAAAAGATAGTTTAAAAAAAATATAGAATCCTCGTACTAAAGTAACATGAGCCTCATACTAAGGTAATTGAAGCCTGATAAAAGGTACCAACCGACAAAAAGCAACTTGTTCCAAAGAATTACAGAAACAAAATCTTTTGAGATGACGGCGATGGAGTTTTTGTCCGACAGGTTTGGTGGGTTAGGAGGCTCCAAAGAGTTAAGAGGATCGAGAATCCTGAACAGATCTGGATTTTGCAGAGACAGCACAAAGAGACCACCACGAACACGAGCAGAGAGCGGTAGAGTCAACCGAGGAATTGACGGTTCCAGTAGAGTGAAAGACAGATTCAAAAACTCAGTCCTCGAAAGCATCACAAAACCCATCGTTAACACTATCAAAGAGAGATCAATTCTATCAACTACTGAGAACTGAACTAGAGATGGAAGTGACCGGTGGGAGTGAGGCCACACCATCGGCTGTTCAAAACCGGCCTAAGTTGTCGCCAAGGGAGAGAGAGAATTATAATTCAAAGCTTACATCTATACATTGCTTATTGATTGTCTTCGTTATAAATGTTTTAATTTATCCTCGGAAATTGTAATGTTGGTAGTAGTTTAAGCTAATCTGCTTGCTTGCTCGGTCGTTATGTTTCTTAAATTTTCAGCCTCATATCATATTATCTACTAACTTGATTCTCTTTGCTTTGTAGATTTTTGTGGATTGTTTGATTGTTTCTACAAAGCTTTTGTAACTTTTCGTTCCACATTATCACAATTTATTTGTAGTAAATTTATAACATAATAGGTATTTACCCGCGCTATGCTGCGGAATATTTTTGTAGATTTGTATATATTTTTAATATAATAAAATTATTTATATTTTTTAATGAGTATTATATTTATTTTTATTAACTGAAATTATGTATTTATATGTTTTAAATCTGAATAAACATTATATATCATTAATTTTTTTATTTTTTTAAATTATAATCTACTATCAAATTTGTTTAGCTAACTATCTATAAATGTATATGTAAGAATAAAACAATATATTTTTAAGTACCTTCAAGCTAATGGTAGATGTAATTTATTTTCTCTACAAAATTGCTACTTGATCCTCCTTTGAAATTATATAAAGCAAATTGCCATTTAAAAAAATATTAATTAATATGATTATTTTAAATTATAAAATTTATTTATTTATCAAATATTTATTATAGACATATGTTTCTAAAACTACCAAACTATAATCAATAACATTCATATCAAAATCATTACTATTACTTTAGAACTAAATAGAAAGTTCTATTTAAATTGTTCAAAATATCAATTTAGTTGAAGTTAAATAATTCAATTTTGGTTACTATAAACATATTATAACTTGAAAATTTAGCACAGATAACTTTTATCTTTTTACAAAAACCGAGAAATTGCATTTTCCGTCAAAACCAAAAAATTCATTTTCTCGTCAAACATGAAATTTTATTTTCCTACCAAAACAAAGAAATTGTATTTTCCCTCAAAAACAAAAAAAAATCACACTTTCCCGCGAGAACCTGTGTTTTTCCGTCAAAACAGAGAAATCAAGTTTTTTCACCAAAACCAAAAAATTTCATCTTCCTGCAAAAACAAAAAATAGTATTTTTCCGTCAAAACCAAAAAATTATTTTTCCGCAAAAATTGAGAAATCGTCTATTCCCACCAAAACAAGAAAAAAATTATTTTTCTCGTCAAATCAAGAATCACACCTTCCTACCAAAACCGATAAACTACAATTTTCCGCAAAAACCAAAAATTGCATTATCTCCTGAGAAATTGTGTTTCCCAAGAAAATTAAGAAATTATATTTTCCCTCGAGAACCAAAAATCAAATTATATGTCAAAAACTGAAAATTTGCATTTCTCATCAAAACCAAGAAATTGTTTATTCCCGCCAAAATCGAGAAATTTTGTTTTTCTATCAACCCGAAAAATTGCATTTTTTGCCAAAATTGTCAAATTACAATTTTCCACAAAAATCAAGAAATTACATTATCCATCAAAAGCCGAAAAATTGTATTTTCTATCAAAACCGAGAAATCATATTTTTCTTCAAAATTGAAAAGTTGCATTTCCCTCGCATTTTCTCGTCAAAATCAAATTTTTTATTTCTCACTAAAACCAAAAATTCACATTTTACCGCCAAACCCGAGAATTTGCTTTTTTCTGCCATAACCGAGAAACTATGTTTTCCTACCAAAATTGAAAATCATATTTTTCTACCAAAACCAAGAAATTCTCTATTTCCGCCAAACTCAAGAAAATTTGTTCTCGGTAACCAGTGGAAATGCGAATCTCCAAACTGTGGTGGTTTGAGTTTCTCCTTATTTGCTTCCGGCTTCCATTTTTTTTAATAAACTTTGGGCTTTTTAATGGGTCAGCAAAATAGTAAATTGATTTTATTAGTGTGTTAATAATATGTATTATTGTTATGTTTTTATTGGTTCAAATTTTTGCTGATGTGTGAGTTTTTTATGACATAACGCTTTTTGTATTGTTGTTATGGAAGCATAGTTGATGATGAGTCTACACTTTATTCAATCATATACGTCTCTATCAAGCAAACACATAGTTAAAAATTTTAATTTTTTTTGCTGTTATTTATTATTTGAGTTTCGGTTTGGCAAAAATATAAAACAAAGATTAATTTTATTATTTGTTGTTATTTATTATTTGGGTTTGTTAAAAAAAATAAAAGAATTTTTTTATTTGCTGTTATTTATTATTTGGGCTTGAGGTTGACCAAAAAATAAAACTAAAATTAACAATAAAAAATATTTGAGTTTTTAATGGGTTTAAGTTTAAAAGTTAAAATAAATTGATGACTTGTATTAATGAAATGTTTTTATTAGTGTTTTTTTTGCTGAAGTGTCATCTCCTAAAAGCTTGAAAATGTTGATGTGTCAAACCATGGAAAGACTTATGGGTTATTGTTGTGTTGATTTGTTTCAGATATTTAAACCTATTTGTCGCATTTTGTGATGAAATATTTGTAACAATTAGTTCTTATATATACCTTGTAAAATTTTGTGCAAAATTGCTACAAATAATCCGTAACAAATTTGAAACAATTTTTCTACAAACACTCATATCGGTTTTATTATTCAAAATGTAACAAAATCGGTATGTGAGTAATTTGACGTAAATTTGTTTTATATTGTTAAAAAAGAACCAAATAGCTATCACGCCAGACTTGCGTAGAAAGTTTGTAGTTAATCGTAACAAATATTTTTTTTAATGAAATTTTGATGATGCATACCAAAAAAATGTAGCTATGCTGATCAATTGTTGTAGTGTTAAGAACACGTACCTTATTCCTTTGAATTCTCAATGTTAGTGTTACATAATGTCTCTCCCAAGCTTATGTGGTTGGATCATATCTCTAGCTTTTTCTTAACATTTCAAACAGTGCGAATTCAAAGGAATAAGGTAGAGATTAAAAATTCACATAACATATTTCGAAATGGTCTTTAGAGGTGAAATTATCAGAATTTTAACTTCCCAGGTCTACAAAGAAGATTAGAGATAGAGTGGCCGTACGTTCTTCTTATTCAATTGAACAAAAGAAAAGACCAAGACTTTACCGATGATATCAGAACTAAAGCTTGTTTTTTTTTGTCATGTAACTTTTGTCTATTTCGCTAAAACCTTTAAACATCTTATTTTTTTAATCTCTTGATATTTCTAATTCTTTAAGGACGTAGCAACCTGCAGGGTCAATACAGATGAATAATGTTTAAGTCTTAATCCTACGATGTAAATTGTTCATGAAATTTTATTCAAACAAGAAGATGGGTACATTGGAATTCTAATAAAGTCAAAGCTGAGATTTTAGTTTTTTTTTACCTCAAATGGGTTACTACTTCTCTGGACGAAATCCTCAGACACAGACCTGCACTTCAGAGCTCGAGCTCTCGGTTAGCCCTAATTAGATGACCACGCCTCATTTTCAAACATCCTCTCAAAGAGCTTCACAAATAAATTAGGGTATAAAAAAATGCACACTTTCATCAACTATTTCTCATTTTTAGTGATATATATGCATGGTTAAAAAAAATAGTCTTTTTATGTAGAGAACCTCATAAGCTGCGTCATTGCAGCAAACGCAATTTAAGAATTAGAAAACTGTAGTCTTGACGAGTGTTGAAGCGAGACACAGAGAAAATGCCAAATAACAACACAAAAACAAAAAATAGAAGAGAATCCTGTCATATAAGATTACATAAATAAATTAATCAGAAAGTTGTCTATGAAGACAAAAGACAACTCACATGCATGCAATCTGGGAAAATCACGCAACCACGTGGAACATGAAATCCACTGATCAATTCCTACCAAAACCCTACTGATAGACATATGTAACCTAAAATATACTTTCACATACACATATAGGAGTTCTGTCAGGAGAGAAGCAGCACCTCACTCACAGAAAATCGTTGCTTCTTTCAACTTAGAGAACAATTAAACCGAAAGTTTCTTTGGTTTTGCCTCTCTTGAAGACTTGTAATCTTTCTTGTTGGATTTCAACAATTTTGAGGGGGAAGGGAATGGGGTCAAAGTTTCATGCTTTTATGTTCCCAGTGTATGTTTTTGGTCATTTCATACCGTATCTTCCTTTAGCCAACAAACTAGCAGAGAAAGGTCACAAGATCACTTTCTTGCTTCCCAAGAAAGCTCAGAAACGGCTCGAACCTCTCAATTTGTTCCCGGACAGCATTGTATTCGACACTCTTACTCTCCCTCCCGTGGAAGGTCTCCCTGTTGGCGCTGAGACAATCTCGGATCTCCCAAACTTGTCTGGGAAAATCCTATCCGATTCCATGGATCTCTTACGTGATCAGATCGAAGCAAAGGTTCGTGCTTTAAAACCAGACCTAATTTTCTTCGATTTTGTTGAGTGGATTCCGGAAGTAGCAAAAGCGTTTGGAATCAAGAGTTCCAGTTACCAGATCGTATCTGCGGCTTGTTTAGCTATGGCTCTTGCACCTGGTGCTGAACTAAATTTTCCCCAACCGCCAGATTATCCTTCATCCACAGTGGCGTTACGTGGACACGACGCTAACCTCTATTATTTCTCCATTAATGTCTACAATGAGCTATTTCTTCGGATCACCAGAGCTCTCAAGTGACGTGATTTCCATAAGAACATGCGAAGAGATCGAAGTTTAAGTTCTGCAATTTTATCGAAAGACACTGTCAGAGAAAAGTTCTATTGAGCGGTCCGATGTTCCAAGACAAGAGTACTAAACCACTAGAAGATCGATAAGATTGTTGGAATATTGATTACGAATGTAATATGGGTTGTTGATAAAACATGAATTTCTGATAATCTGCTTTGTTCTGATTATCAGAATAGAAGAATGAAGAGACAAAATAAATAACTTAAGAACGAAGTATAAACCTTTATAAGTGATCTGAAACTTGTTTTTTACATCATGACAAAAAAAAATGAACAGGCACTAAGACACAAAGAGTTGTGTCTCTTCCTGTTTGTGACTCTTACATGAAACATCAGAACATAAACTAAGAGTCACAACTCTTCACTGAATGAGATAAGACCAAATTCAATTATCTTCAACAAAGATCGCTGGTTGAATGGATTTGAACCGACAGTGTATTGTGCGTTTGGCACCCAATTCTTGTTAGAGAAAGATCAGTTTCAAGAACTCTGTTTAGGAATGGAGCTAACAGGTTTAGCGTTTTTGGTAGCGGTTAAGCCACCACAAGGCTCATCAACTATTCAGGAAACCTTACCAGAAGGGTTTGAAGAATGTGTTCAAGGTCGTGGGATTGTTTGGGGAGGATGGGTGCAGCAACCTTTGATCTTGTCTCATCAATCAGTAGGTTGCTTTGTGAGCCATTGTGGATCCGGTTCAATGTGGAATCTCTTGTTAGTGATTGCCAGATTGTGTTTATTCCAACAATGGGTGATCAAGTTCTCACAACAAGATTGTTGAGCGAGGAACTTGAGGTCTCTGTGAAAGTGCAAAGAGAAGATTCTGGATGGTTCTCGAAGGAGAGCTTGAGGGATGCAATTAAATCGGTTATGGATAAAGATAGTGAGATTGGGAAGGTAGTGAAGATGAATCATAAGAAATTGAAGGAGACCTTGGTTAGTCCTGGATTCATGAATGGTTATGCTGATAAATTTGTTGAATCGTTGGAGAATATAGTGCACAATACGAAACCGTCTTCAAGACTTGAACTGAATCGAATATTGTACCCCTTTTTTCTAAAATAATATTTTACATTTAAATTGTTTTTTTAAGTGTCATTTTACAATTTTAGTATAAAGTTTCGATGAAATGGAATAATCCTATATCTGAAATAAATAAAAGAAATAGAGATATATGTATATACGAAGCAACTTTAGTTAAATGTGTTTAGGAGTAACTTCCAAACTTCTACTCTAATCAACACAACAATAACACTAAAGTCTCTACATGGCTTGACACCTCAGCTTTTTAAGCTTTATAAATATGACAGCTCAGCAAAAATAATCACCAATCAAAATATTTTATTAATACATCTCATCTACTTATTTTAATTTTTAAACTTAAACCCATTAAAAACCTAAATTTTTTTTTATTAATTTTTGTTTTATTTTTTACCAAACTCAAGCCCAAATAATTAATAACAGCAAATAAAAAAATTATTATTTTATTTTTTACCAAATCCAAACCCAAATAATAAATAAAAACAAATAAAAAATTAAATCATTGTTTTCTTTTTTTGCCAAAACCAAATCCAAATAATAAATAACAATAAATAAATAATAAAAAAAATTCTAGCTATCTGTTTGTTTGACATAGACGTATATGATTGAAAAAGTGTAGACACCACCATTGTATCCATACTTTGTTTTATGTTTTTTTTTTTTAAATCAAAGAGCATACGAGCAAAACATATTTCACAATATTTTGTGATAACATTTGTCTTTTTGCAAGATCATTGCAATGTGCATTTACATATAAAAAAAACTTAATTATTTAACTTTAACTAAAATGATATTTTAAGAGTTCAAACATAATTTTCTATTTAGTTCTAAAGCAATAGCAATGGTTTTGATATGAATGTTATTGATTATAGTTTGGTAGTTTTAGAAACATATGTTTATAATAAAATATTTGATAAATAAATAAATTTTATAATTCAAAATAATCATATTAATTAATAAATCTTTTTTTAAATGACATTTTGCTTTATATAATTACAAATGAGGATCATGTGGTAATTTATTGGAGAAAATAGATTACATTTGCCATTAGCATGAAGGTACTAAAAATGTATTGCTTTATTCTTATATATTTTATTCATATATATACATTTATAATTAGTTAGCTAACTAAATTTAATAGCAAATTATAATTTTGAAAAAAAATATATAATGTTTATTCAGATTTAAAACATATAAATACATAACTTAAGCTAATAAAAAAATAAATATAATACTCATTTACATTATAAAAATAATTTTATTATATTAAAAATATATACAAAATTTAGAAAATATCCCGCAGCATGTACATAGCTTGACAACTCAGCTTTTTCAAGTTACCAAAAACTAACACATCAGCAAAATTAACAACCAATCAAAACATTTTATTAATACACATCATCTACTAATTTTTATTATTTTTAACTTAAACCCATTAAAAGCCCAAATATTTTTCTTTGTTAATCTTTATTTTATTTTTTTGATAAACCCAAGTTCAAATAATAAATAACAGCAAAAAAAATTGTTTTATTTTTCACCATCCCCAAATCCAAATTTTGGTGGAAAATGCAATTTCTCGATTTGATGGGAAACAAAATTTCTCGATTTTGGCATGAATAAGCAATTTCTCGGTTTTGATGAGAAAGATAAATTTTCAATTTTTGACATATAATGTAGTTTATCGGTTTTGGTAGGAAGGCGTGATTTTTGGTTTGACGAGAAAAATAATTTTTGTTTTTGTTTTGACAGGAATAGACGATTTCGCGGTTTTTGCGGTAAAGTGGTTTTTTCGGTTTTGACGAGAAATATGATTTTTTGGTTTTTGCAGGAAGATGAAATCTTTTGGTTTTGGTGAAAAAACTTGATTTCTCTGTTTTGGCAGGAAAACACAGGTTCTCGTGGGAAAATGTGTTTTTTTTTTGTTTTTGCATGGAAATGCAATTTCTTTGTTTTGGTGAAAAAATAAAATTTAAGCTTTGACGAGAAATGATTTTTTTTTTGGTTTTGGTGGGAATATGCGATTTCTCAGTTTCGTGGGAAAATAAATTTTTTTTTGCTTTGTTGGAAAATTCAATTTCTCGGTTTTTATAAAAATATAAAATTTTTATGTACTAAATTTTCAAGTTACAATATATTTACAGTAACCAAAATTGAATTATTTAACTTCAACTAAATTAATTGATATTTTAACAGTTCAATTAGAACTTTCTATTTAGTTCTAAAGCAATAACAATGGTTTTGATATGAATGTTATTGACTATAGTTTGTTAGTTTTAGAAACATATGTTTATAATAAATATTTGTTAAATAAATAAATTTTATAATTTAAAATAATCATATTAATATAGATAAAACTTATATATGAATTTTCATATTTTTTAATATAAATGAGTATTATATTTATTTTTTATTAGTTTAAGTTATGTATTTATATGTTTTAAATCTGAATAAACATTATATATCTTTAAATTTTTTTTATTTTTCAAAATTATAATCTACTATCAAATTTGTTTAGTTAACTATCAATAAATATATATGTAAGAATAAAACAATACATTTTTAAGTACCTTCATACTAATGGCAAATGTACAATATTTTCTTTACTAAATTGCCACTTAATTTTCCTTTGAAATTATATAAAGAAAATTGATCTTGATTTATGACACATAATAATCTTGATCAAGTGGATACATCCGATGTCGTTAATTTATAATATATATATGAATTTTTGTAAGAGCTTCAAATTTTATAAACATAAAATCTATATAAGAGTCTATAATCATTTTTAAGATTACCATTTTTCATATAATGTATATATATTTAGTTAAATAGATGATTCTGAGGATATCTCTCGTGTCATCTTCATCGGAATCTCGATTGCTGATCTTTTTCTTTTCTAATGTATAGTAATATGATTCACATCACCATATCTCGGTTCTATCTGTCAATCTGTAAATCTTGATTCGATGTAGTTCCACACTATTCTTTAATAAAGGGTGAGTACTACGAAAATATAGACTCAAAGCAAATATTAAAAGTTGAGCTCATTCGACTTTAGACATGAATTTTCTTTACACATAAGTAGGCCTTTAAGACTTAATCCTTCTTATATGTAAATGCACATTGCAATGATCTTGCAAAAAGACAAATGTTGTCACAAAATATTGTGAAATATGTTTTGTTCGTATGCTCTTTGATTTAATAAAAAAAAACATGAAACAAGGTATGGATACAATGGTGGTGTCTACAAACCAAAATTATCAAATGATACACTGAAGGTTACAAAAAGAAGAAACAAAGAAGTTAAATAATTAAAAATCATAAATCCAATATAGATAGTAGGGGGAGATTCCATTAAAAAGCATGCATTAGATGTAGAAAGGAACATGATGAATATTCTCGCACGCTCTCACTCTGGTCCATAAACATAAAGTCAAAAAGTAGCATATCTTTGTCCACACTAAACCAATGGTCCGGTATATCTTTGATTTCAATCTTTGTCATATCATTGCTTTGCATATCATAACAAAGAATGTGAAAGGGAGAAATGAAATCCTCTGGTTTCAAGAGAACCTTGCCATTTTGAGTTGTACCTCTTATCAAGAACGTAATGCTACTGACCAAATGCATCTGGGAAAGCTGCAAAACCTGATTCTTGCACGACCATTTTTTGCTCCCGGCATCTTCCAGAGTCCATAAACCCAACACACCCTTGTCTTGAAGATAGGTTTGGTCAAAAAGAGTTACTTTTCCACCATACTCCAAAAGAGCCAAATTCTGGGTTTTTCGAAGGTGGTCGTCGCCTTGCCTGGGAGGTACTCGGATCATGTTGAATTCTTCGGATCTAACGTCGAAACTCACAACCACTGCTTTATAATCAATCCAAACCAGGTAATATATAACCCCATCGATACACACTCCTCCTCTAACAGGCACTTGATGAGGAGAAAAGTCCGGTGGAGTTAGAGCAGCCTTTTTCCAGGAACCTCCTCCTCCCGCTTTTAGGAAAAAGACCCAGTTCTCACTCATCACTTCGAAAGGTTCTAAAGAGTATACACAAATCAAGGAGACCACTTTGTACTGGTCGCTAACAGGGTCGTGTCCGAAATAGTAGAAGACAGCTTTTGTTCCTCCTGGGGGCACGATCATGTTGCTGGAGTTCATGAAGGGTAAGGTGACAAGTTGTCTTGTGGCAGGGTTATAGATCCGTGCCATTAACCTATAGACGTAGCACATGAAGCCACGAAAATTTTGAAAGATGTAGCCTCCCATCCGTGGGATGGTCAGATCATGGTCAACTACAAAGGAAGACAGAGTAGTACTACTAGTGCTTGAAGGAGACAATGAGAGTATTACAGACGTATCGTTGTCGTCGTGATCCAATAAACACATGTAAAGACGAGGGGATGGAACCGTAAGAAAACGGTGGCTGAAATATTTTGAGCCGATGACCGATAACCAGTGCTTTGAGACGCACTTGAATCTCATCAGGGATTTTGCTGGCAGTCTTGTGAGAATCTCCTCCGTCACCAAATCCATAGGAAGCTCCCGTGCCTCGCTAGACAAACCAGCCATCGTTGCACAACCTTGGAGAGAAATTAATCGTAGCTATTTGGGGTTTTAAAATTGATGAGAAAATATATACTCTATATGAAGATGATGCTGTTCGGTAAATTTACTTTATATATATACTAAAGGAAAGAAATAGTTTACTAGCTTCCTTTTCCTCCATCCTTCATCTTTTCAATAGTTAGATTTCCTTTATTTTAAACTCCTTTTTACTCATGTTTTCCTTTTTTCCTTTTGACTCGGCAAAATATGTTATTCTATATATATATTATTATTATTTGACAAATAAATTGAGATATAGTTGATAGTTATGATGATTGATTACTATTTACCCTTTTGTATGAAAAGATTTGATTTATCTTTAATGAAATTAGTTAATTAAAATAATTTGGTTTCATGTTAATTTATTAAAATAAAAATATCGAATAATCAAAATAAATATTCTATATACTTTTTTTTGCTTAACTAATATTTTATATACTTAAAACTTATCATAAATAAAAAGAGAAATATAAATACTTAACCCTAAATAACTTCTCCTATAAATACTTGTGTTTTTTCTAAAATTGATTAGGTTATATGTCATCTTTACTTTAGGATTAGCCGATAGTTTTTCTTCCCGCGCGTGTTCTTTTACATTGATATTATGTAAATATTTTCATTCAGTCTCATATCTTAAATTTAATTTCTTTTAAAATTTTCAATCAATTTACATTAAAAATTATTGTAATAATAATATTAAAAATTAATATATCCGCATGAACTGAGGTTTGTATATATTTTTAATATAATAAAATTAAAAATAAAAATATCGAATAATCAAAATGAATATTTTTAATATAATAAAATTTAACCATCATATACATCTATATGTATCTATATGTACAAATTTGAATCTATTCTAAATAATCATATATAATATAATTATATTCATTTGTAAATAATAAAAAAATTTGTATATATATGTTCATTTGACAGAGACGTATATGATTGAAACAGATGTAGGCTCAGCATCAACTATCAACCATGACAACAATGCAAAAAACCTTAAGAAGCTTACATATCAGCAAAAATTTGAACCGATAAAAACATAACAATTTCTTAGTTTTCGCGAGAAAACACAATTTCATATGAATAATGTAATTTTTAGTTTTCGCGAGAAATTGTAGTTTATCTGTTTTTGTAGGAAAGCGTGATTCTTGATTTGACGAAAAAATGATTTTTTTAGTTTTTGTGGGAATAGACGATTTCTTAGTTGTTGCACGAAAATAAATTTTTCTGTTTTGACGAGAAAATATAATTTTTTTTTTGTTTTTGTAGGAAGATGAATTTTTTTTTGTGAAAAAATATAATTTCTCGATTTTAGCGAAAAAACACAGGTTCTCGCGAAAAAATAAAATTTTAGGTTTTAGGTTTGACAAAAAATGACTTTTTTGTTTTGGCGGGAATAGACGATTTCTCAGTTTAATGGAAAAATAAAGATTTTGGGTTTTGAAGAAAAATGCGATTTCTTGGTTTTTGTAAGTAGATGTGCTAAATTTCCAAGTTAAAGTATGTTAACAGTAACTAAAATTTAGTTATTTAACTTCAGCTAAAATAATATTTGAATAGTTCAAACCAGAATTTTCTATTTTGTTCTAAAGCAATAACAATGGTTTGATATGAATGTTATTGATTATAGTTTGGTAGTTTTAGAAACATACGTTTATAATAACTATTTGATAAATAATGGTTGTATGTAGACAATATAAAATTTCGGTTTTCGAATTGTGATGTTCCAAAAGCTTTGACTTCTGATTTTAGATTTGGAATTTTGGAACTTTGAGTTCGATTTTTGGTTTTGAAATCTGGAACTACTTCATCTTCCTTAGATCTGAAGATTCCTTTCACAACATCTGCGAAACTCCACGGTAAGCTTGCTTGTCCAAACTCCCTCTCGGCTTGAACCACTCCTTCATTAATTCTCTCCTCCGAATTTTCTGGTCTGATTTGATTTGTCTTCATTAGTTTTCTCTAATCGACTTCCTTGTTCTGAATGCATGCTTGTGGTTTTTGTTTGCCATACCAAGTCTGATTTGTGTTGATCATCGTGATTTCTTCATCCATAGCTAGTTGATGTTTCTCCGGGTGAGAATTACTTGGTAACCTACCATAGCCAGAAACCAGACAACCCGCAAGATGCAAGTGTGAGTGCACCCTTTTGCTTCTATCTCTATTATCATATGGACAGAGAGTAACTGATGTATATGTCCTACTTTGCAGCAAGTTGAGATCAAAATCTTTGATATGAGAAGCGGTAGAGTAATGAGAGGTTTCAAAGGAAGTGCTGATGAGTTTTCAGCTGGAGGAGACAGCCTCTCGTGGCCTGTCTTCAAGTAATTTTCCAAACCAGATAAAACTTGTGTTCAAGATTTGTCTACATTATCCTCCTGCTCTCAACTCATTTGTAAAATCAATTTTTCTGCAGATGGGCTGGTGGAAGAGATGATAAATACTTTGCCAGACTTAGAAAGGACACTATCTCTGTCTACGAGACTGAGACTTTCAGCTTAATTGATAAGACATCAATCAAGGTTGATAATGTTTTGGACATGAGTTGGTCTCCTACTGATTCCATTCTTGCACTGTTTGTTCCTGAACAAGGTGATGGCAACCAACCTGCCACTGCCAGGGTATGTTACAAAACCCGAGCTGTCTTTGTTTCGACATCTCTGCTCTTGTCTGTATATATATCTTACATGTTTGATCTCTCTGTTTTAATTCAGGTCGCTCTTGTTCAACTCCCTAGCAAGGTGGAGATAAGGCAGAAGTATCTTTTAAATGTGAGTGGCTGCAAGATGTACTGGCAGAGCAATGGGGACTATCTTGCTGTCAAGGTGGATCGATACGGATCAAAATCAAAGAAGAGCACACATTCAGGGTTCGAGCTTTTCCGAATCAAGGAGAAAGATATTCCGGTAGAGGTTCTTGAGCTTGACAGCAAGAACGATGAGATCATTGATTTCTCGTGGGAGCCCAACGGTCACAGGTTCGCCGTGATCCACGGCGACCTACCGAGGCCGGATGTCAGTTTCTACTCGATGAAAACCGCACAACACGGTGGTAGAGTTTCAAAGCTCGTTACCCTAAAGGCCAAGCAAGCCAATGCCCTCTTCTGGTCTCCCACTGGCAAACACGTTGTCCTAGCTGATGGGTTAAGTGGATTCAGTGGTAAGCTTGAGTTTTACAATGTGGACGAGCTTGTGACTATGGCAACAGTTGACAACTTCATGGCCACATATATCGAGTGGGATCCAAGTGGAAGGTACCTTATACATTACTCCATTGTGTTCTTTATTCATTTGCTTTGCTTCTCTGTTTTCAGTTCAGAAAGAGTTGTGTTATATATAAGCGTTCTATGTTTTTTTTTTTATGTAAAGGTGTGTGGGAACCGCAGTAACATCACCAGTCCACGAGATGGAGAATGGGTTTTCCATTTGGTCATTTAGTGGGAAGTTGATTTACCAAACACTAAAGGAACAATTCTCTCAGATATAATTCAAAAACATAGGGCAAACAAGTTGATAATAATGATATATCTATATATTGATTTTGCGTATTGGGTCTTCAGTTTGCTTGGCGTCCAAGGCCACCGTCATTGTTGTCGGACGAAAAGGAAGAAGAGGTGGCCAAGAATCTGAAGAAGTACAGCCACAAGTACGAGGAAGAGGACGATGACGTGTCAATGTCGTTGAGCAAACAAGGGAAGGAGAAGAGGAGAATGATGAGAGAGGAATGGGAGATGTGGTTGAACAAGTGGAAGATGTTTGACGAGGAAGATCAAACTCAGAGGGAGAATCATCTTATTGGTGACGACGAAGAGGAAGAAGAGTATTCTTATGAGACCATGGAGGAGTTGATCAATGTCTCTGAGGAAGTCGTTCCCTTGACAGTTGACACTATGAGCAAGAACAAAATGTTTAATTTTTGTTTTGTAGTGTTTTCTTCAGATCTTTTTTGGATTGTCTTGAGAATTTTGGTTGTTTACAGCAAAATAACAAACAATTTAGCTAAGGCTTTTTATTTTCCCTAAAAACTGAAGTGTAAGTGAAAAAACTAAATTATGTAAGTGACTTTTGGCTTTGTGTAAAGGTAATGTAGAATCGACGAATGACGTGAGATAAATCAACGGTAGACACTCATCTGCATGGCCGTCGCGTGTCATAATCCTAGTGAGACGGCCGTTTGATTAACTTGGTTTCACCGAAAAAGTTTGATAACCCGAAAAGCCAAACAGCCAATAAAAAGGAATAATAATCATCTTTTTTAGGCACATATATAGGCCCCACGAGATTTCTCCTTTGCTTATGGATGTAAGTAAATATCTTCTTTATTTCTCCTATTAGAGAGACTAGGTATTTACCTGTGCTATGCTGCAAGATATTTTTCAAGATTTTGTATATATTTTAATATAATAAAATTATTTTTATTATGTAAATGAGTATTATATTTATTTTTTATTAGTTCAAATTATATATTTATATGTTTTAAATATGAATAAACATTATATATTATTATTTTTTTATTTTTCAAAATTATAATCTACTATCAAATTTATTTAGCTAACTATCTATAAATGTATATGTAAGAATAAAACATTACATTTTTAAGTACCTTCATGCTAATGGCAAATGTAATTTATTTTCTCTACTAAATTACCACTTGATCCTCCTTTGAAATTATATAAAGCAAATTGTCATTTTTTAAAAAAAATTTATTAATTAATATAATAATTTTAAATTATAAAATTTATTTATTTATCAAATATTTCTTATAAACATATGTTTCTAAAATAACCAAATAATAATCAATAACAGTCATATCAAAACAATTAAATAGAAAGTTCTGTTTGAACTGTTTAAATATCAATTTAGTTGAAGTTAAATAATTCAATCTTGGTTACCATAAACATATTATAACTTGAAAATTTAGCACAGACAAATTTTATCTTTTTCCAAAAACTTAGAAATTGCAATTCCCGACAAAAAAAAGTTTTCATTTTCCTATGAAACTGAGAAATCGTTTATTCCTGCCAAAACAAAAAAAAAATTCATTTTAAAACCTAAATTTTCATTTTCCTACCAAAACAAAGAAATTGCAGTTTCTTGGAAAAACAAAAAATCACATTTTCCTGCGAGAACCTGTATTTTGCCGCCAAAACGGAGAAATCAAGTTTTTTTTCACCAAAACCCAAAAAATTCATCTTCCTACAAAAACCAACAAAATTGTATTTTCTCGTCAAAACCGGGAAAAAAAAAATTCCACTAAAACCGAAAAATCGTTTCCGCGAAAACAAAAAAAAAACATTTTTCTCGTCAAATCAAGAATCTCGCATTCATACCAAAATTGATAAACTACAATTTTCATGAAAACCAAAAAATGCATTATCTCTTGAGTAAATGTGTTTCCCGCGAAAACTAAAAAATCGCAATTTCCTGCGAAAACCAAAAAATCACTTTATATGTAAAAAACTGAAAATTTGCATTTCTCATCAAAACCGAGAAATTTTTTATTCCCGCCAAAATCGAGAAATTTTGTTTTCCCATCAAACCAAGAAATTGCATTTTCCGTCAAGATTGTCAAACTACAATTTCCCGCGAAAATCAAGAAATCACATTATCTATTTAAAGCCAAAAATTTGCATTTCTTATCAAAACCGAGAAATCATATTTTTCGTCAAAATTGAAAAGTTGCATTTTCCTCGCATTTTCTTGTCAAAACTAAGATATTTTGTTTTCGCGTCAAAATCAAATTTTTTTTTCTCACCAAAACCAAAAATTTATATTTTTCCGCCAAACCCGAAAATTTACTTTTTCGGCCATAATCGAGAAATTATGTTTTCCTACCAAACCTGAAATCATATTTTTCTACCGAAACCAAAAAATTCTCTATTCCCGCTAAACCCAAGAAAATTTGTTCTCGGTAACTACCGGAAATGCGAATCTCCAAACTGTGGTGGTCTGAGTTTCTCCTCATTTGCTTTCGACTTTCATTTTTTGTAAACTTTGGGTTTTTTAATGGGTGAGCAAAATATTAAACTGATTTTATTAATGTGTTATTGATTTATGTCTTAATATCCGCAATGGGTAGAAAAATAAGGATTAAGTCACGGTAACACATAAATTAAGATATGAATCTAACGACATCGGATGTATATATTTTGTCTTAATATTGGCATGAAGCTACTAAAATATATTGTTTTATTCTTACATATACATATATAGTTAGTTAGCTAAACAAATCTAATAGCAAATTATAATTTCGAAAAATAAAAAAATTAAGAATATACAATGTTTATTCAAATTAAAAACATATAAATACATAACTTAAGCTAATGAGAATATATATATATATAATATTCATTTACATTATAAAATAATTTTATTATATTAAAAATATATACAAAATTTAGAAAAATATCCTGCAGCATAGCACGGATAAATACCTAGTCAACACAACAATAACACAAAAGTCTCTCCATGTCTTGACACCTCAGCTTTTTCAACTTACTAAAAACTGACACATCAGCAAAATCAACAACCAATCAAAATAATTTAATTAATACACATCATCTACTAAATTTTATTTTTTTTTAATTTAAACCCATTAAAAACCCAAATTTTTTTTTTGTTAATCTTTGTTTTATTTTTTGCCAAACCCAAGCCCAAATAATATATAACAGTAAATAAAAAATATATATCTTTATTTTATTTTTTGTCAAACACAAACCGAAATAATAAATAACAATAAATAAAAAAAATATTTTATTTTTGCCAAACCCAAGCCCAAATAATAAATACCAGAAAATTAAAAAATTTAAAATTTGTGGATATATAAACTTCGATTAAACGACAAACTTATTACGACCGTTCGTTGATGCACTATAACGTCTTATGATTTAGAAATATCTTAACATAAACTTGAAACAACAGAGCTTGGTTATATATGCGAAAAAGTTTTGAATCGTCTTGTTATTGTTGTGAAACAGAGCTGAAAGGTATGCGAGTGGAGATGGTAGCTAAGTTAGTACATGAGCATGCGAGGAAGCAGTGTTTTTAGCTTGGTTTGTAATTTCCTCAAAAGACTCTAATGTTTCTCGATTTTAGCATGAATAAGCAATTTTCCGGTTTTGATGGGAAAGGTAAATTTTCAATTTTTGACATATAATGTAGTTTATCGGTTTTGGTAGGAAGGCGTGATTTTTGGTTTGACGAGAAAAATAATTTTTTTTTGTTTTGACGGGAATAGACGATTTCGCGGTTTTTGCGATAAAATAGTTTTTTCGGTTTTGACGAGAAAATATGATTTTTTAGTTTTTGCAGGAAAATGGAATCTTTTGGTTTTGGTGAAAAAATTTGATTTCTCTGTTTTGGCAGGAAAACACAGGTTCTCGTGGGAAAATGTGTTTTTTGTTTTTTTTTTGCGTGGAAATGTAATTTCTTTGTTTTGGTGGAAAAATAAAATTTAAGCTTTGACGAGAAATGATTTTTTTTTTTTGGTTTTGGTGAGAATAGGCGATTTCTCAGTTTCGTGGGAAAATGAATTTTTTTTTTGCTTTGTTGAAAAATTCAATTTCTCGGTTTTTGTAAAAATATAAAAATTTTATGTACTAAATTTTCAAGTTACAATATATTTACAGTAACCAAAATTGAATTATTTAACTTAAACTAAATTAATTGATATTTCAACAGTTCAATTAGAACATTCTATTTAGTTCTAAAGCAATACCAATGGTTTTGATATGAATGTTATTGAGTATAGTTTGGTAGTTTTAGAAACATATGTTTATAATAAATATTTGTTAAATAAATAAATTTTATAATTCAAAATAATCATATTAATTAATATTTTTTAAAAATGGCAATTTTCTTTATATAATTTCAAAGGAAAATCAAGTGGCAATTTAGTAGAGAAAATATTGTACATTTGCCATTAGTACAAAGGTATTTAAAAATGTATTGTTTTATTCTTACATATATATTTATTGATAGTTAACTAAACAAATTTGATAGTAGATTATAATTTTGAAAAATAAAAAAAAATAAAGATATATAATGTTTATTCAAATGTAAAACATATAAATACATAACTTAAACTAATAAAAAATAAATATAATACTCTTTTATATTAAAAAAATAATTTTATCATAATAAAATATATACAAAATCTAGAAAAATATCCCGCAACATAGCGCGGGTAAATACCTAGTTACTCTAATATTAGAAATTTGGAAAATCAGGCATTCATGCTTAAGCAAACATATATTGTAAGTGATTTTTATAATTATCTATTACATAACAAAATTCACTCAGAGACTCTTGTTACACAGTTATAATAAACTCAATACAGAATAAGAAGAAGATCTTGGAGGAGCAAGACCTAACAATAAGTAGAAAAAGAAGATAACATCATTGGATCTACTGTCTGATTCCACGATGCACACTGACCAAGCTCAAAAAATGGGTTTAGTATTGGAATGTTGTTGTTAATGCAGCTTCCATCCCCAACAAATCCTTGTGCCCCAAGTAAAGCCGAACTCAAATTGTTGTTAAACGGAGTGAACGCCTGGTCAAAGCTTGAAGAAGCAGAGCTCTCAGTTGTGTAAAAGTAGCGTTGTCATGGTTGTAAAGGAAAACTGAATACTTTCTTTGAGAAGGATTCAACGAATCAGTTGCGAAGCCACCTCGGTTCTCAAAAGCACGGCTCAGGCCTTGATTTTCAATTTGCGAACTTGATGGTAAATTGATGAATGGATCCATCGAGGAGAAGGCTGACGAAGAAACCCTAACTTCTTAACTTTGTTCGGACCCACAATCGGACAAACCCGCAAGAGGGCTCTGATCGTTTGAGAAATTCGTCAGCGGATCCTTGGATAGTGAAGAAGATGAAGGCAGAGGAAGGAACCATAAAGTTTTGATTTTGATCTGGCTCGGTCTGATGATCTTGGGGCTGAAGAACCCGGCTACGCCTGTCCTGTAATATATGTTGAATATTTTGCAAAGAAGCTTCAATCTCCGAGACTCTCTGTGAGAATTTACCATCGTCTTTACCCTCGAGGGATCTCTTCGTCTCGTCGTTCATCTTCTTGTTTAGGAATTGAAAAAGGTTTGAGCTTTTCTTGAGTTTTTCTCTATCGCTTAATCTGCTAAACCTCTCGGCCAAGTCTCTGACTTTTGAATGATCCTCGGGCCATGTCTGGATGAGTTCTCCGTCGCGGCTGTAATGGAGTACACAGGCTTCGATCTCGCATAGAGTCGAAAGCTCCAAGGCTTTCTTGAGAAGGGTCTGTTCCCTCATGCCCAAATTCGTGGTTTTCTTGAAACTAGGTTTTCTTCTCACGGACAATTTGGTGTTCTTCCTCGCCACCGAAGAAGAAGAAGAATCCATCGTTGAAGCAAAAAAAGGGGAAAGAGAGAAAATAGTGTTTTTTGAGAAACAAGAGAGACTGGATTAGCGTGGGATAATGATGAATAGTGAACGCGATGAATGTTTAGGGTTGGGTATATATAGATATACAATTTTGTTGTGGTTTCGGATTAATTTCCTTTTTTGGAGAATCTTAGTGTAATCTATTCATTAAATGATGATCCGATAATTTCCTTACTCTCCAATTAATATTGCCGTTAGGGATTTTACAACGCGTATACACATATTTTCAATTGTGTATATAATAAATAAATAATTACTTATTTAAAATCCTTGTCAATTCTCACTCTCTCTTTCGTTGTAAGATAGATTCTCAAAATTTGTTGCTCCTGTAATTTGCCTCATGAGAAATTGAAAGAGAAATTGATGAAGAAGCATCTGGAGAATGAAGAGCACAATATGAAATCGTCTTGAACTAATTGAAGAGCTTTACCCTTATGCTAAATCAAGCAGGTGAATCTGGTTGTCTCAAGTACCACTACAGATGCGAGAAGACAAAGCTGGCGCACCTCTGATTTGTTAATCTTGGTGGATATAGGGTCTCTGAGCTCGGTTCAACAATGTTCTTCATGAGTTTGCGCTGATATGTGGTCTGTCTGTAAGCCGCTCAAAAACAAAAGCTACCTGAGGATGAGCTCTAAATGTTATATGCTTCTCCACCAGAAAGCTTTCAATTCAGAACTGTGAACCACCCTTGTCTTATATCAAAGGCAAAAAACCTCTGTGTCCGCTCTCTCTCTCTCACTTCTCCTGGCCGTCTACTTGTGACCAAAACGGCGGTAGCAGGGATCTCTAACTTCTGACTTCTGATGTGCCTTCCTCTAATAAATGCATTGAAAAAATCAAACTCACTCTGTAGTGCTTAACTGATATAGCTCCTGGTTCTTTGAAGTGAGCTCCATATGGGTTGCCTGGTATCGAGAAGAAGTGCTTCAATGTATTCCTCAACTCGGGGTTGCGAACAAGACTTGGTATTCCAAATGATGCATCGCTGCCTGATGTGCATATTCAAGTTCCCAAATGCGATAACAGTTTGCTCATCTCACTACACTGGAACTAACTGATTCAGACGATATTTGTTGGCTTTTTGTACTAAAGAACGCATCGCATCATCAATTTGGGGATTAAACACTGACCCGAGTTGTCTTCTCAACCATAAATCTTCTTTGACTGCAGTTTCTCATTGGCAGATCTGGTTTCGAATCTCCTTCCCTTGTCAATCACAACCTCAGAGATTGTCGATTCAAACTCTCTCGCTAACAAATCGTCAGAAAAGACTACTCCTCCTTGGCTTGGCCACTATATACTAGATAATCACACTCCATTATACTTTTTCTGATAGATGTGGAAACATAAGAAAAAAAAATAATTAAATATTGACTATTGAAAAAGCTAGAAAACAAAAAGGTACAATTAAAAATATCAAAACAAATTAGCAAAAACATTTTAGCAGTCTTAAGGCAGAAGCAGTTTGAGACTTCCAGTGTCTAGCTTTTTCAAATCCATTTGTAAAATTCTCAAAATCATCAACGGTCTAATTAAGCAAGAAGATGATTTATAGGTCAATGGCTTATAAGGTTTTATTTTGGTTTTGAGGACGCCATTTCTCTCTTTAAAACATGATCTAATTTCCAATATATATACACAAATACGTTCGATTCTTGCTTACTAAAAGTTCATACGTTAGCAAGAGTTGATCTCAGAACCAAAAATATATATATATATATATATATATTAGCTAGTGATATTAGTAAATTCAGGTAAATTTGTTAGCAAGAAAGATTTAGAATGAAATATCAATGGTTTGTGTTAATTACGTCATCCTCTATCTTGGTAATTACTCGCAATAAAGATGTTTCAATTCGAAATAATTTGTCCAAAGGCAAAATTGAATGGATCATCTATTGTTTCCTTAAAAATCTGGATCATTCAAAAAAACATTGTGCCAAACCAATTACCAAATGACGAGAGGGAAAAATTTCATATATAGAAGTAAATTGTATTAAACTCGACGCAACAGTGTTTTTTTTTTTGATTGCTTAAAAATAAATTATTGCTTAGAACCATAATTCGCAAACCAAGAATCCCCAAAAGAATCACTACCCTTTTACCAAAAAAAAAAAAAAAAATCATTATCCCACTTCTAGCTTTTTCGCCACCATTTTATGTATACGGTATAATAAATAATCCAAATTTCAAAAGAAAATAACAATAACATGATTGTAAATAAAAAATATTTATTAAACAAATGTTTTGAAACAAACAAACAAAAAAATTATGAACGAAGAACCCTAAACACGATCTCCTTCAACTATTTTATTCACCATGTGAGATGGCAAAGGCCAACAGCGACTAAAATTCTCCCACGTCTCAGTTTCTTATTGGCTAGTCGTCAACGTGGATGTCAGCTCAATCCAGTGACTTAACCATTTAAAATTAATTAAACCGGATATTTATTAATTTATTCCAAAAAAGAGAAACAAAATATCTAAAAAATAAAATAAAAAACAATCCTTAAGAGGAAAAAGCTTACCCCCTTAAAATGGCAGTTCGTGTCGAGGTAGTAGCAAGCACACTTGTCGTCTCTCTCCCGCAAATCTTCTCGATTCTCCGCAATCTCTAAATAATATTGGTGAGAAATCTCAAAGCTTCTTTTAATAATTTTTTGAATTTATTCGTTTTTTCATTTTTTTTGAGATCTGTCTTTATCAGATCATCCTCTGTGAACTGTTATCTTTTTGTATGCTTGTCCGATTCATAACATCTGATCTGTTTATCTTCTATGTTTGTTCTTAATCAACTATAGTAGTAAATGAAGACGTAACTATTAGTGGTGAATTAGAGTTAGGAATCTTCTTCTTCAGTTTTTGTTTCTTCTTCTTCTTTCTCTTGAGGGTCTATAATCCGATTTACTGTTCCTCCAGAATCTGGGAAAGATCCGTCATTTAATTTGTTGGGTTCTCGATTTATCTTTTGAATTCTTTCAGAAACTTTTAAGAATGGTCACAGGCTCAGAGCTTTGGATTTTGATTTTAGTCTTCTTTCTGTTTGGAATTTATCTGGATCCTTTGTGTGGCTCAGATACACACACACATATATGTGACAAGGATCCAATTTATACTCTGTGGATCAAACTTTACTCATATGTTCATGATTGATTGCTTCTTCTGAGTAAAACTATTTAAAGTTTACACTTTTATACGAAAGGTCCTCTCTTTCGCTTTGCTGGATTCTCTCTTATACATAAACGCAATGTGACACAGAGATGTGGGATCTACTCTTAAACCGGTTTTAGTCTTACCCTAATTGTCTGCTCTTTTGCTTTCTTATAGTTAAAGCACAAAAGAAGGGTCTGATTCTTTTGGTTTCAAGACTGAAGAAGAAGAAGAAGAAGAAGTGATGGGTACTCATATCAATTTCAACAACTTAGGTGGAGATTCTTCTGGAGGCAATGGGAGTAACAATATTAATAATAATAATCAGTCAAAGCCATTGGCGAGGCAGTCTTCGTTATACACCTTAACGTTTGATGAGCTTCAGAACACATTAGGTGAGCCAGGGAAAGATTTCGGGTCAATGAATATGGATGAGCTTCTCAAGAACATATGGTCTGCTGAGGAAACTCAAGCCATCATGACTACTACGTCTTCGATTGCAGCCGTGCAACCTAGTGGTGGCTTTGCTCCTGGAGGGAATCTTCTGCAGAGGCAAGGCTCGCTGACTCTGCCTAGAACGCTTAGCCAGAAAACAGTTGATGAGGTGTGGAAACACGTGATGTCCAAAGAGAGTGGTAATGGAGATATGGGGAATAGCTGTGGCTCTGATGCACCTGGGAGGCAACAGACTCTAGGGGAAATGACTTTGGAGGATTTCTTGCTACGCGCTGGCGTTGTGAAAGAGGATAATAATAACTCTACTCAGCAGGACGAAGAGCGTGGAGGGTTTTATAGTAACAACGGTGCTTCTGCTGGTTTGGGGTTTGGGTTTGGTCAGCCAAATCAAAACAGCATATCTTTCAGCGGCAACAACAGTTCTATGGTCTTGAATCAGTCACCTGGTTTAGGCCTTAAAGTGGGTGGAGCAATGCAGCCGCAGCAGCAGCCACCACATCAGAGGTTGCCACCAACTATCTTTCCAAAGCAAGCGAATGTAACATTTGCAGCGCCTGTGAACATGGTGAAAAAGAGTTTATTCGAGGTTGGTGATGGTCCGGTCAATAATAATGGCGGTTTTGGTGGTATGGGGGGAGGAGGAGGGGTTACTGTTGCAGCTACTTCTCCCGGGACGAGTAGTGCAGAAAACAATGCTTGGTCATCACCGGTTCCTTACGTGTTTGGTCGAGGAAGAAGAAGCAACACGGGACTGGAGAAGGTTGTCGAGAGAAGGCAGAAGAGAATGATCAAGAATCGAGAATCAGCTGCTAGATCAAGGGCTCGGAAGCAGGTAAAGTATTCATCTTAACCGAACTGTCATCACCGTTTTCTTTTCATGAAGTTTTGATATTGATTTCGATGTTACTGTTAACCACAGGCTTACACCTTGGAACTCGAAGCCGAGATTGAAAATCTCAAGCAACTGAATCAAGATTTGCAGACAAAACAGGTGTGTTTTCTACCATTTTTTATTTTTTATTTCTTTCTTGCTTCTCGGTAAAGAAATCAGCTGGCTCAGTTCTTTAACTTAGCTTCCCCAATGATGATGCAGGCTGAAATTTTGAAAACCCAGAATAACGAGGTAAAAACGTCTTTCCTCTTTATTTGGTACATTTTTTATTTACCTTTGTTCTTCATGTATGCAACAACAACCTTGTCCACATTATCAGGAGCAAGAGACTCTTTTACTTTTTTTGTTTTCCAGACATTTTGTGTCTGTCTGAATGTGGACTCTATTGTCTCTTTGATGGTAATGTTCACTGATACTGCTTCTTGAATTTACAGCCAAAAGAATCGTCTAAGCAGCCGCCATGGCTGGCGAAAAGGCAATGCTTGAGAAGGACCCTTACTGGTCCTTGGTAAGAAGGGGACATAATAGCAAGAAAGGCCTGGTAATGTAATATAACAACCGACAAAAAGGGAAGACTTTGGCTTTGGCTTTGGCTTTGGGACTTGGGAGACTAAAAATGTAATAGAAGATAGTGCTTGCTACTGTACAGGAGTCGGGAGAGATACAGAGACGCTTACAATGTAGAAAAATCTTTTGAGAGAGCTTTCAAAATGAATTCATAATTTATATATGTAAAACTTTCAGATCCAGCTATAGAGAAGAAGTGAGACCATTAGACTCAGAAAGAGAGTGCATTTACTGGAGAGTGAGGTAAACTCCGGCTGCAAAACGACCTGGAATTTGTACTAGACGATGAACCAAAGATCCGGTTATTGCTCTTTTGAAATCTCAAAACGGTTCTCTTCCTAGAATCTTGCCCTATCTCTTCCTCGACGGCTCTAGCAAATCCGCTATGCAACGTATCACAGCTCTCACACAACAGTCTCAAGACTTGCTTAATCGATGGCCTAGACCGGCCTTCTTTCTCAGTACACAGTCTCACAACCGTCACTGCAGCTTCAAGCTGCTTCTCTCCATCATCATCATCAATGGAGTCTTTGATTCTCGCGTCTACCAAATCCACGTGTCTTGATTTCGTCACCAACAACCGCTGAGACGTTTCCACAAGGTTCCTACCTTCATCAACCGCTCTCTTCCCGGTTATGAGCTCCAGCAACATAACTCCATAGCTGTACACATCACTCTTCTCCGTCAGCTCTTGCGTTACTACATACTCTGGATCTACGTAACCTGAGAAAACACAAGATTTTAGAGCTCAGCTTCCATCAATAGGAGTAGAGTTGTTGTGTTCTGTATCTCTCTCACACTAACCTGGAGTTCCATGGATATCGGTATTCACAGGCTCAAAAGAAACAGAGCCATCTCTAGACGAATGTGCAAGGCCAAAATCTGAAAGCTGCACCAAGAAAAAAAAACATCATTAAGTATATTCCAAGTCGAAAACGTTTCTGTAACACAGATGAATGCACGATGGATACATACTTTAGCGACGAAGTTCTCGTCTAGTAGTATATTGCTTGATTTAATGTCTCTGTGGCAGAGAGGTGGATCACAGTAGAAATGAAGATATTCCTGGATTAGATAACAACGTTGCAGCCAAGAACCAAAAACTGTAAAAAGGTATATATATGTATATAATCAATCAGTTTATAGAGAAAATGGAGATGAAAAGACTTTGGAATATTTACCAAAGCATTCGCTACATCAATGGCGATTTTCATTCTTGTTCCCCAACTAAGTGGAGGCTTTTCTATAGCTGCATTGGAGAAAGAAAAGTTTCAACAATGTGGATTTTTTGAAGCTTAAGGTAGAAGAAGCATATATACATAGTTACATACAATGTAGATGATCTTTTAAACTGCCATTTCCCATATAGTCATAGATGAGTAACCTGTAAGATTGAAAAAGAAAACATAGTAAAGTTTTTGACTGTTTAGGTAAATGCAGAAGGTAAAAAGAAACAATGTATGTATGATGATTCTTCACCTTTCTTTCTTTTGGATGCAAAAGCCTTTCAAAGAGACGAGGTTACGGTGATGGAGCTTAGCTAAAAGCTCTACCTCTCTGCAGAAATCTTTCTGAGATTGTACAGTGACTTTGTTCATTCTCTTTACAGCTGCGACCAGTCCATCGCTGAACTCAGCTCTGTAAACAGTTCCAAAGCCTCCGTGACCAATCACAGTGTTGAAATCATTCGTTGCATTTCTCATTTCCTTGAAGCTGAATTTCTGGAAAGGTGAAGAATCATCTGCAAGCAGAGAGAAGAAAAAGATAAAGTCTTCCTTTGTGGTATGATACAAGAAAACAAAAAAAGTATTCGCTTTGTTTTTTTTTCTTTTTTCCCCCACCTTCATGAATCTTGAACACAGGTCGAGGAGAAGGAAGTGTTTTCGTTGATTTTCTATCCAAACTCTCGGATTCATCGAGTTCCCGGTTCTTTTTACGGATGAGAATGACAAGAACAACGAGCATCGTAAGAGCAAGAGCTGTAACAACAATCCCAATGGTTGGAACCAATGTTAAGTGATACGGATTGTTGTTTTGACCTGGAGTCAACAGAGAATCAATGCTGCTTGGGCTTATAACGCCAGCCGTGCTTGGAGAATGTTCTGGACTTGCCAATGGTGGAAATGATTCTGTGGAATATCCGAATGAAATCAGAAAAAAAGGGACAAAAGCTGATGAGATGGTTAGAGAACGTGTCTAACCTGAAGGGATGCTAAGTTCAGTCACTTGAAAGAAACAACTAAGGAGTTCAAGAGCCGATGTATAGTCGATTCGGCTTGCTAATGCAGCATAAGTGGCATCACGACAAGTGCTTAGAGTGATGTTTTTAGTCTCTGCGCCCACGAGATCACGAAGGTAAGTGATACCAGAGTTCAGACACTTCCTGCATTGGTTTGCGGGAGAAAGCGGGAGCCTGCAGTTTCTTGTAACGTGTCCGAATTTGGGAGACTGGTGCATCTGTGTAACAGTGGTTCGGCCTTCGCAGTTGTACTTAACAAGGATCTTGGTTCCCAAACCGCAGAAGCTAGTCGCGTTTCTCGAGACTCCGTGGAGCTCCATGGATCTAGAGATGGAAGCAATGCAGGTTTGGGATAAATCTGATGAGACTCCAAGGTTTGTTGACAAGTTTGCGTAACGTGCCACGGAAAACGCAACAAGAGCGTTCATGTAGCGGCAGCATTTGCCTCGGTTGGTTATGTTGGAGCACACTGAAGCTACTAGAGTGAAATTCGATGAAGTAAAATCCAATGGACAATCTGTATACACACACAACAATGCAAGCATTAGTGTCTGAAACAGAGAAGAAGAATGGAGATTTCTTCAAAACTTAAACAGATAGTCCAAAAGCTTCACTCTTTAGCTTGAACAAACTAAGCTTAAATCAATATTTTTTTTTTACTAATTGAACCTTGACAAAAAAAAAGGTTTTCTTTTTCAAGATCTGTTTTCGATCCAAAACAGAGTATTTGCATGTAAGCAACTAATTCACCACCAATTTCAACAAATGAACCAAAAATATGCAAATTACCATAAAAACTCGGATCTTGTGAAAGAAAGCAACAAAATTTCCCAGACCCAGAAGCTCAAAATGTGATTTTAATCAAAACCAACATCATTTTATACTGATTATTAGCAAAACAGAGGAAAATCGGGAAAGACAAACCTGCAGCCATTATTAGTGAAGGCAGTTGGGTTAATGCAATTAATGCCAACAAGAAAGCTTGACTATTCACCACCATGGCCAAAGAGCAACCAGAGAGAGAAGAAGAGTCAATGAGAGAGAGAGAGAGAAGGAGAGATTATAAAAGGGTTAATGGAAGGTCCTTGTGATATGACATTCGAAGGTCTGTATTGTATACTCTCTCACTGACAAGGAAAGAGACAAAGAATCACACCACTATTCAATTCGTGATCAAGAAAACGACCAAATTGAAATAAAAGTCCCTACCTTTATTATTTCCTCTCGTTTTCATCTACATATTCTTTCCAAACGAATCAAACATCCCCCGATTTGTCATCATTCTGTGTTCTACAGTCTAAACACTCATGTTTAATAATTCAAATCTTGCCATTAGATTAGTTTCTCTCATGTGAAGGTTACAAATACATAATTAGTAAAGATTAGTAGAATTTTGAAATGGAGCTCGCATGTTATTTCATCATAATCTATTGTATGATGATGTCTCATGCCGTTTTCTTTAATTATCTATAAAGTTTTGTTTGTTTTCACTCGTTTTCAGAGATTAGAAAAACATTAACAGTTTTTTCTACAACGGTGATGATCTAATTTGAACTTTTAAACAACAGTTCTTACTACTCCTAATCTTAAAAAATTAAAATTAAAAAGGACAAATATACTTTAATCCTTTTCTTGGAGAAAAAGAAAGGTATTGTTTTGTTAAAAGTTAGGGCAGCATTCTTAACATTAAAACCAAAAATAAAAGTTAGAGCAGCATCATAAAAGCTTTGATGAAGAGAAAGCGACACATGGATAAAATGGCTACATGGTTCGAGGGCTGTGGGATTGATCCTAAATTATCCTAATTTTAGTTTTGAAATAAATAAAATTCAACAATCGATTTCAAAAAAGAAGAAAAAATGGAAGAGGCAGTGTGAAGTGTGAACCCAAATGCTATCTACATAACGTTGGTGGGGTCACTCACATGTGTACACTCTGTCATATCTCAGACCCCAACTGCAACATTTTACAAAATTTTAGCTTTATTGTACGCAAATCTTTTTATGATAAATACTTTTCTTTTTGGAATACCATCATATACAAGAGTTTTATGGTTATTGACGTAAATCGTTGAATGGGTTATACATATATTACTAGAAACTAGAAACTAAAAAGGGTTACATTATCATTGACACTGCAAAATCTATAAATTGTACGGAGTAAAATAGGAGAGATTAACCAAGTGGTGGTAGTTTAGTGGTTTTCAATTGATTGATTCTTCTTAAGTGCGAAATTGCTAGGTTAATCCCATTTGGCCACATGGATATGGGTCTATGCTTTCGGCCATTTGAATATCTGGAGAGAGGGTTTATGTAACGATCCGGGTCCGGCCAATTTGAATAAGTTTAAATGAATTAAGTTGGCTACCTATGTCATTAAAGTGCACTTATCTTTTCGGTCACTGGTCCCAAAAGAACTCCACAGTTAAGGGTGTTTATGCTGGAGAAGGACTAGGATGGGTGACCTTTCGGGAAGTGATTCCCAAAACCATGTAAGTGAGGCCAAAACATGGGGAAAGATCATGTAGTGATTGCAGGGTCAGTAAATAAGTCGGTTGAGGTCCGGGAAAAATAACGCACTGGCCGTCGGACAGGGGCGGGGCCCACGAGCCTGACGGAGGGATGGGTGACTTGCCGGAATGGGCGGTCGGGGGCGTTACAAGTGGTATCAGAGCCTGTGAAGTCAAACTGGTTCTGTCCCATGAGACTGTCCTAGGGTTTGGGGGTTAAGGCTCACACTATCGGGATCAGAATTCGGGGACGAATTCCCGTATAGTGGGAGAGAATTATAACGACCCGGGTCCGGCCCATTTGAATAAGTTTAAATAGATTAATTTGGCTACCTATGTCATTAAAGTGCACTTATTTTTTCGGTCACTGGTCCTAAGAGAACTCTACAGTTAAGGGTGCTTATGCTGGAGAAGGATTAGGATGGGTGACCTTTCGGGAAGTGATTCCCGAAACCATGTAAGTGAGGCCAAAACATGGGGAAATATCATGTGGTGATTGCAGGGTCAGTAAATAAATCGGTTGGGATCCGGGAAAAATAACGCACTGGCCGTCGGATAGAGGCAGGGCCACGAGCCCGACGGAGGGATGAGTGACTCGCCGGAATAGGCGGTCGAAGGCGTTACAGTTTATTTATAAACTGCACCTTCCTCAAAAGATTAGTCTAGACCCTTTTATAGGTTTAAAATGTGGATATGGAGAGATAGAGTAAAAGATTTTGAGAGTTTGTTGCAAATGTCAAATGTGAGTGTGAATTAGAGCTGAAATTTTGGTCTCTACCGACCAATAAAAACAGACCGTTTTTGAGACAGACAAATTTTAATTTTTCAAACGACATATCAAAATGGTTCGTCCTTGTGCCAGTTTTTTTTCTTGATTTTTAAGTTATAACTTCGAGTTGGATTCAGACCTATCATAAATTGTTTTGTTCCGGACTCTAACAAAAATCGATTGATAAAATAAAAAGAATAGACCAAAAATATTTTTGAAATTGGTTCTAAAATCGTTGTAGACTGGGCTGGATTGGGCCCATTGATTCTCTTAGAGGGGTGAGTTGAAGGACTACACGTGGTCCATTGGGAGCCATACAAGTAAGAGGTACGTGAGATTGCCGTGTAAACTAGCTTTTGTAATTGGAAACATTTGCCATTTTTTATTCCGTCAAGACTCTTCTCATCTCATTGTATCCTTAGTTAAAGACTCTTTAAGATTCAAGCCGTTTCCTCTAAATTTGGTACTTTAAGACTTTAAAAGATAAATCACATGTGATGTAATAGACTAGATAGAGTAATATGATGATATTCCACATAAGAGAAGATGACTTAGTGCAACAAAATAATTTCTTCTAAGTACATCATTATTCCCCTCTTTCCTAATCCACTCATCATTATTTTCCTAATTCAACTTATTCCACCCATTAACCACACGCATTAGCAGCATATGTCTTTCCATCATCATAGTTGTATTGTAAACAAGCTTCAAGCAAAAAAAAATATATATACGATGCTGTTTTTATTTTGTACTTTTCAGAGTTTTATTTCGATTTGAAATGTTTTATACATCCAATAAAAACTTTCAAATCATCATTTAAGCGCAATTAGCTCAATTAGTTGGAAGAGAATTGAATAAGTCTTCCCCAACTCAAGTTCAACTAATTAATAAGCCTACTACATTTGGATGGAAGAAAAACTCATTTAGAAAAAACAAATTCACTCTTAACACAAATATGGAAAACATACAACCACTACATAGATAAAACCAAAACTCTTTAAAGGTTTGAATTTTTTTTTTAACAAAATGTCGACTTTATTCAGAGTTATTGGGGTAGTAGTTGTTGGACTATATATTGCATAAATTTTTTGGAACATGGGAAATAATAATGTTTTTTAAAATGTAAAATGAATAAATATCAAAGAAAAAACGCAAACCAACAACCCACTTTTGCAGCAGCTTTTATTGTCATCATGTCTTCACCGACACGCGCGCACTTCCGTTCACTCTTATTTTCTATCCTTAAAATCCTCAGATTATTCTTCTATTGTTTCGCTTTTTTATTTGTTTCTAAAAGAATCTTCACGCAAAAGCAAACCATACCAATTTAATCTTTACAGTGATGATGAAGTAGCTACTTGTCCGTCTCTTCTTCTTTCGTTTTGAGTTCTCATTTTCGGCGAAGAACACTATGTCTCAGAGAGTAGTCTTCCTTCTCATTGCTCTTCTGATTCAATCCTCTTTCCTTTTTGAGATTTCCTCTGCTCTCAAGGTAAGCAAAATCTCATCAAAATTCACATCACGTCTTTCCTCTGTTCCAACAACAAAAACAGAGGATATTTGTCTCCCTAAAATGTTTCTTCTTCTGATTTGGAGAAACATTATTGCTAATCACTGAGAACTAAGAAATGGGTTGTTCCAAAATCTTAATTTGAGTAATGGGTCGTGAAAAAAGCAGAATCTTCAACTCTTTTCTTGATTTATTTTGTTTTGGATCGTAGGAGGGAAAGACATGTATACTGAGCAAGAACTGTGACGCTGGATTACACTGCGAAACATGTATAGCCAACAACAATCTCAGACCCAGATGCTCTCGAACCCAACCCATCAACCCCATCTCCAAGGTTCACACTTTTGTACTTTTACCAATCTCTAATCATATGGACCAATTTGTGTGTTAAACCAATCGATTATGTATATAAAGGTAAAGGGATTACCTTTCAACAAGTACTCGTGGTTAACAACACACAACTCGTTTGCTCGATTGGGGGCAATATCAAAGACCGGTTCTGTGATTTTGGCTCCCACTAATCAGCAAGACACAGTCACAAGCCAACTCAATGTAAGAAGTTTCAAACTTTAGTAAACCCTTTTAAACATTTCTTGCAAAGTGTGAATCTTTATGTGGTTCGATGGTTATTACTATTGCAGAACGGTGTAAGAGGGTTTATGCTCGACATGTACGACTTCGAGAACGATGTCTGGCTTTGTCATTCTTTAGATGGAATTTGCTTCAATTTCACCGCTTTCGTAAGTTTCGATACATTTTTTTTTCTTGCATTATGTATTATACACGAAAATGTTTGTGATTTGTATTTTTCTTTTTGGTGTGTGCAAATGGCAGCAACCGGCTATTAACGTTCTAAGGGAGATTCAAGTGTTTCTAGAGAAGAACAGGGAGGAAGTTGTAACGATCATTATAGAAGACTATGTGAAATCTCCCAAGGGTCTCACAAAAGTGTTTGACACGGCAGGGCTGAGAAAGTTGATGTTTCCGGTAACGAGAATGCCCAAAAACGGAGGAGATTGGCCAACGCTTGACGACATGGTACGACAAAACCAAAGGTTGCTAGTTTTCACATCGGATAGACGCAAAGAAGCAACGGAAGGAATCGCATATCAATGGAACTATATGGTTGAGAATCAATGTGAGCAACCATATTATATACTATAAATTTGTTTGTTTCATGATTTCATCTTGTTATGTTTTGAGACATATTTGCAGATGGAAATGGAGGTTTGAAGGCAGGAGTGTGTCCTAACAGAGCTCAATCAGCAGGGATGAGCGATAAATCGAAATCTCTTGTTCTTGTGAACCATTTTCCTGATGCTCCGGATTTGGTAGTAGCGTGTAAACAAAACTCTGCTGCGCTTCTTGAATCCATCAAGGCATGTTACCAAGCAGCGGGACAACGATGGCCTAACTACATAGCAGTCGATTTCTACAAGGTACATATGTAGACTAATTGTAGGGTTTAGTCGATCACTATAATTAAAGTAACATTTTGTGTGTGTGTGTCTGGTTCAGAGAAGTGATGGTGGAGGAGCTCCGCAAGCTGTTGATGTTGCGAATGGGAATTTGATATGCGGTTGCGACAATTTTGCAGCATGCCAGGTCATTTTCTTGCTCTATTTTGTATCTAAAGTAGTTGTGTAAATTCTACAATTTGTTTTAAAAAATCAGTATAATTTGCAGGAGAACGGGAAATGTGGATAGTAAGAAAGACTGAGAAGCCGGAGGGAACTATCATGACCAGAGGCTTTGGTCATTGGTTTTTACGAAACCGACCCAAACTTGGGCTTTCTGTGTTTGCTGTGTCACCTTCGTGTCACTTCTCTCATAAAGCTTTAGTGTTATGGTTAGTTTATACTAGAAAAGAAAAAGAGATTAGTGTAATTTGTTAGTTTCATTATTATAACATATCCTAATCATTTACGAACCAAATACCGAATAATATATACATCTATGTTCTGTTTTAATATAATGAAACCAAAAAGAACCATGAACACTACAAAACAGACTGATAATCATATATTAATAAATAAACTTAAACATGTGCATATTTATTAGTAAAGAAACTATATGACCATGTAACCCAACTGTTTGTTTTACTGTAAAGAAACTATCGAATTATTTTTTGAAACACAGTAGCCATTCGCCAATAGTGTTTAATGAGAAAAAAGCACATGAAACAAATAAAACTTGTCACTTGGTGCCGTCAAAACAAACAAAAAAGTTGTCACTTGATGTGCCCTTATATACAATAATAAATGGTTCAACTTGTTTCTTTTTACACTAGTTGCCATCATATATTAGAGAAAACAACATTTCCAACTCATCAATCATTATTTTCACAAAAGAAAAAGAAAACAATATCACAAAAGGAACCACATAACTTGAGTAACTCCGTTTAAGAAGCTCCAAAACACAAATAAAAACACACAGCTACATGTTAGATGTTGAAGATAATTGATAATTCATGTCTATATTTGCTTTTGCTGCAATTTCACTCCCACTTTTTTGGGGGGGTTGACACCGATGTATATATATATTAATTTAGTTTGTAATTCAAAAGCAATAGAAAAATCGGTTATATAAATCTATTAGTCTAAGATTCTAGATTCTAGCTGTTAACTATATATAAACAAAAATCCAATTGTCTATCGATTTTAAGATATGAAGTAGATAAGGTAATATTGGTTAGATTGCATGCATGCATGGTTCAGATACACTAAAGAAGAAAGTGGATTATGAAAACAAAAGATGCAAAAATTGTAGTGAAATAGGGTAATGTTTTAAGAGGTAGTTTGAAAGAAAAAAAAAGGAATGGACTTATGCAATATACTACAACAACTATGAAAGATACATGATACATGTGCAATGTTAAAATTCTTAATGTGAGTATCTAAACATTAAAAAATCATTATTTTTTCTTTCATGATTTTTCAAAGAAAATGATTTTTCAAAGAAAATGAATAAGTAATTAAATGACATGTATTAGAAAAAGTTAAGAATAGTTTTTTAAATTCCCTGTATAAGAGCTGATTCTTCTTTTTCTTTCATAATTTTCAATTTTTTGAATAATTTAATACTAAGATATTACTTTTTCAATTTTTTTGAATAATTTAATACTACAATATTACTTAAGATACCTGCATTGAACATGCTTATGCATGGGATATGGCAATCCGTAACTACACAGCAAATGCATTTATTCAGTTATAATATTGTACTAGAAACCACAAATATATATTATACTATTAACACTTGGGCGAAATAGTTTCTTCACACATCATAATTATGGGAAAAAGGGTTATAGATTCCGAATCCGATTCGGGTTAAGTGCGCTGTAAGATACCGGAGAAGGAGCTTGAACTTCTTCGTCCTCCAATCGTTCTTGAACATGTTTAACCGGGTGTGGATTCTTACCACAAGGGACCAGAAACATAGACTTGGAATGACGACAAGTCTGTTTCCGCATGAAGAAATTGGCACATTCCTGTGGCGTTTTCTGGTTTGGAAGATCAAGTATACAATTCATACGAACGTCCAGGATGTTTCTCTTGATGAGTTGTCTACATTTTGGACCGACCTGAGTGAAGTAGTTATAGGAAAGAGAGAGGTTTTTGAGACAAGAAATCTCGCAGACGATCTCTGGTATGGTTCCATAAAACTTGTTCCCGGCTAAATTGAGTTGTTCCATCTTGTCTAAGCAGCCGAAAGAGTATGGTATTGGACCGGTTAGCTGGTTAAACCCAACATCGAAAACAGTGGCTTGGTTTAGCTTTCCGATTTCGTACGGTAAGCATCCGGTTAACTGGTTATTCAAGAAAAGGACTTCTTGTAGGTACTTGATGTTGCCGATGCTGTCGGGAATTGGACCCGTGAACCTAAGTCACATCACAATAAAGATAAAAAGAAAATAATTTAGCTAATATAATAGCTGTACTAGCAACTAGTAGGGACGCAATTTAAAAATTAACCGGTAAAAGCTGGATTATTTTTTTTTAATTTTTTTTCTTGTTATGAAAGTTCACTTTGCTCCCTCTTGCTAAATTATGACCCATTATTCTTTATGTATCCAATTATAGATATAAATCACAATTTTATTTCTAATTATGTAACATCATCGTATATCTCAGATTGAGTTTTGAGTTCCTTTCTTTCTAAAATATATCGATGACCCTTTTGGATTTCATTAGACAAAAAGTACTTATAAGACTTTAATTGTCTCAATTAAAAACTTTAAGCTGAATATCTAACCTGTTGTTGGCGAATGTGAGGTAAAGAGCTTTGATGGAGCCAAGATTGGTAGGAAGATTCTGAACAAGATTGTTGTTGTTGATGAACAAGACGTCGAGATCGAGATTAAAGACCCGAGGAGGAACAGAGCCTTTGAAAGTATTGAACCTGAGATCAAGAAACGTGAGATTGGTGGCTTTTAAGACGGAAGCTGGAAAATCTCCTGAGAGTTTGTTGTTGCTTAGATCGAGCTCGAACAAGTATTTCAAGTTGCTGACGTCAGGCACAGAGCCTATGAAGTTGTTGGAGTTTGCGTGAAAGATCGTGACTGTTTTTAACTTGCCGAGCAAGTTATCTAACCGGAGGTTCTTGCCGGATAAGTTAAACTCGTTAAACTGGACGCTCGCGACTGCCTTTTCATTTGTATCCGGGAAGTTCGCGCAATCGAGTCCGCGGTATTTGCCGCAAATGTCGGGGCCCTTCCAAGAATCAAAAATATTCTTTGGATGTTCTACTAGTTTCTTGAAATCTTGGAGGATTGGGAAAGCTTCCGCTAGTAGTTGGCTCTCAAAGGGGTACCACGGCGGTCGCTGCGGCGGGGGAGGCGGTGAATGCGGTGGCGGTGGTGTTGGGGAAGGTGTTGGAGGAGGACATGTAGGAGGTGGTGGAGGAGGGCATGGAGGAGGAGGTGGAGGAGGGCATGGAGGAGGAGGAAGTGGAGGAGGGCATGGAGGAGGAGCTGGAGGAGGGCAATCTTCAGGTTCCAGTGAAGGTAATGGTGGTGAACTGCCGTCGTCACCGCCGCCGATGATGATTTCCAAGGATTTTCTGTCGGTGATGCGGTTATTTACGGAAGGTAGAGTGAAGTGGAGATGAGAAAGTGAAAGAAGGAGAAGAAGAATTGAAGAAACTGAAGCCATTGATATTTTTTATGAAATGATGAGGTGAGTTTTGAGGATAAGCTTGGGACTATATATGTATATGGAGAGAGGTTTTTAGAGCAGAGAAAATGAGAAGACTTATAAGAAAGCTTGAGAAGTCAATGGACAAGTGCACTAGGCATTTTCTTTTGGGTAGTGGGTCTAGAAAGAGGTACCAATAATCATTGAATTTACATAGAAAGTAATGCAAGTATTACAAAAAGGTATAATTTTCTTTAAAAAATTATCTAATTCAGATGTTATTTTTTTACCAAATAAAATCTTCTTGGATAAAAAACGACTGGGATAGTTGAAAGTTTTAGTCTACATAAACTTTGTGAGTTATTATGAATTGTTGAAACTGAAAATGATAAGAATATATAAGTATATCAGATTTTAGGAGTAAAAAAGAATGTGTGAGAGTTTAACTAAAACAAAAAGGGCAAAAAGACAAGAAAAAGTGCATTATTTTGCTGTTACTTCTCGTTCGGACCAAACCTTTTTTCTTCATGGCCGACAAAACCGAACAGCATATATAGAGTAGGGAGTGTAGAACAAAATTTGACTTGAGAGGAGAAAATTAGTTAATTATAAATTGTTGAAACGAAGTTTTCAGGATTCGAAGTAGGCCTTCGCAAGGGGTTTGTGACGTCATAAATCCCATGCAGATGGTCTGCAACAACCCACAAGAGAGAGAGAGAGAGAGAGAGAGAGAGAGATAACATTAATTATTTCATAAAAAATATTATAGCTGAGCAATTCATCAGTGAAAATATTAGTAGGAAATATTAAATACGAGTATGCCTACTCTTAACATCACATTAAATGTGGAAACAAATCTTACCACTAGATACGCCTTCTGTAATGATTCCTTGCCAGAACCAGAATATTCGTGTTCGAAAATAAAAAGTTGATCATGTAAAAGATGTCAAAATTCTATTGTTCTGAGATTTATGGGGTTAAAAAAAAATTTTCAGACAAATTCAAATATATTGGTTTGGGTGCCAAAATAATTTCGCACTTTGCTAAACTTTCTTGTTCTGAGAAAATGGTGCTCGATTAATTTAGCAATGATCATCAAATGGGCCTTATACGAGATAGAAACTGGGTCCAGATATATTCAGGCCTTCAAGAAACTTGTTCACAATTTGTTGGCCCATTTCATTATTCAAAGATATGATGAAATTGCAGCAGAATGATTTTCGAGCTTTTCGTACGTAAAGCTAGAAAAATGTAAAAGTAATCGTATTTCCATGCATTGTCTGAGAACTTTGAACAGTCAAATCATTCACTCTCTTGCCTGAAACGATAATTCAACACTTATCATTTACTCTCTTGCCTGAAACGATAATTCAACACTTCTCTGTTTTTTTTGATTTTCTGGTCAAACAACACTTATCATTTACTCTCTTGCTTGAAATTCTGAGTATCATTGATTACGTGTAGATATAATCTTATTCTTAATTCACCAAAGGGAATTACATTTGTTTCCTTAAGAAGAAGAAGAAGAAGAAGAAGAAGAAAAAATGCTTACGACTGACTAAACAAAAGGAACCAAGCATCGACAGATATATCCGAGTGGGACCCAATACACGACACTAAGGACTAAATCACGACACTAAGGACTAAATCCAACGGCTGAGATTTCTCAATTTCCCATCAAAAGCTTTTTAGGGTTTGGTGAAAAATTCCATATATATATAAACAGCGAATCCTCAAAGTAGTCTTTCCTCTTTGCAGTTTTTTATTTTCATTTTGCATTTTGAGCTTTCTCTCTGATAAGGTCACTTCCTCCGAGTTCCGACCCTTTTATCAGAGGCTCGCTCAACGTTGCAAACCCTCGCCGTCTTTTCATTTTCCTTCCCGATTCCGGAAAAAAGATTCAATTTTGATTTTCCGGCGTCGAGAAATTTTATTTATCTAACAAACATCTGCTTTTGATTTGGGTTGTGTTGTTCCTGATTGAGCTAATTCGGAGAAAATCTAGCGTAATTTCTTGAAAATGGCTCAGGTTCAGCATCAGGGACAAAATGCCAACGGCGGAGTGGTGGTTTCCGGTGCCGCGGCGGCGGCTGCGGCTGGAGCGGCTGCGGCGGGGGCCGGGGCGGCGCAGCAAGGGACGACGTCGCTGTATGTCGGAGATCTCGACCAGACCGTGACGGATTCGCAGCTGTTTGAGGCGTTTAGCCAATCGGGCCAGGTGGTCTCTGTTCGTGTCTGCAGAGACATGACGACTCGGAGATCTCTGGGCTATGGATACGTTAACTACGCCACTCCTCAAGATGGTAACTTTCTTAAGACTTCTCTAGATTGGTTCGTTCATTTTGCATTGATGATGATGATGATTTTATTGGTTTGATCGGATTTGGGGTTGAATCAATGTAGTATTGAATTGGAGTTTGAGTTTAATTGTGTCTCTGTTTAACGAATTTGCAATGTTATATCATGTTGGTAAGATCTCTCTTAGAGGATAGGGCATAGTGAAATGGTATGCAAGTAAGTAACTTTGTATTGAAATGTGAAACCCGTAAGGTTATTTTGGAAGAGTGTTTACATTTGGTCACACGTTTGGTTTTGTGTCTTGTGTGTTATCATTATATACGACGTTACTCTTTGTTAAATTAATAATATCACTTGGATTTATTAAACAAATCTTGCTTAAGATTGTGGTACTGTTCATGGAGGATAGGGCATAGTGAAATGGTATGCAAGTGAGTCATTTTCTATTGAAATGTGAAACCCTTAAAGGTTATTTTAGAAGAGTGATGGTTAGATTTGATCCCACATTGGGTTTTGTGTCTTATGTGTTATCATTATATACGACGTTACTATTGGTGAAATTAATAATATCACTGATTTATTAAACAAATCTTGCTCAACATTGTGGTATTGTTCATGTTTTGATGATTGGTTTGGGAAATTTGCTTGTGCACTTGGTTCAGTTACGCTCAAGATCTGCGTGAAAAATATTAGTAGATTCAATAATTTTCTTCTTACAGTAATAGATTATAAGTGTTGCTTTAATGTGAAAAGGCATCTCATTATATTTGTGGTTGGTGACAGCATCCAGGGCACTTAATGAGCTGAATTTCATGGCTCTTAATGGAAGGGCTATTAGGGTTATGTACTCTGTTCGTGATCCAAGCCTCCGTAAGAGCGGAGTTGGTAACATCTTTATTAAGGTACAGATTCGAAATCTCTTTTCCCCATTCTCCATATTTGAACTTCTATGTAGTGTTGAAAAGAAATCTTGGCTACTTTGATTTAGGCAGTTGCCTTTTATTTTGATGTCTTATTTGGTGAAATTGTTTATCTGTGTCTCAGAATCTTGACAGATCAATCGATCACAAAGCACTCCATGAGACATTCTCTGCCTTTGGTCCCATTCTCTCTTGCAAAGTGGCTGTTGATCCCTCTGGCCAGTCGAAAGGCTATGGGTTTGTGCAGTACGACACTGAAGAAGCAGCTCAGAGAGCCATCGAGCAGTTGAATGGAATGCTGCTTAATGACAAGCAAGTGTATGTTGGACCCTTTGTTCACAAGCAGCAGAGAGATCCTTCGGCTGAGAAGGTGAGGTTCAACAATGTCTATGTCAAGAACCTCTCCGAGTCCATGACTGATGAAGAGCTGAACAAAGTTTTTGGAGAGTTTGGATCGACCACTAGCTGCGTGATCATGAGAGATGGTGAAGGCAAGTCTAAAGGCTTTGGATTTGTCAACTTTGAGAATTCGGAAGATGCTGCCAAAGCTGTTGAGGCTCTAAATGGAAAGACCTTTGACGACAAGGAGTGGTTTGTTGGGAAAGCCCAAAAGAAGTCTGAGAGGGAAACGGAGCTCAAACAAAAGTTTGAGCAAAGTTTGAAGGAGGCTGCTGACAAGTCTCAGGGCTCGAACTTGTACGTTAAGAACTTGGATGAGAGCGTCACAGATGAGAAGCTCAGAGAGCACTTCGCTCCCTTTGGAACTATCACCTCATGCAAGGTATGTGACTGATACAATAGTAATCGCAGCTTGTTAGAATCTTTGAGCTGATTTGGATTTAAAATGTTCTACATTTGAATGTGACAGGTGATGCGTGACCCTAGTGGAGTGAGTAGAGGATCTGGATTTGTCGCATTTTCAACTCCCGAGGAAGCATCCAAAGCTGTAAGTAACTGCAATACAAAGAAGACATGTTGAATTCTATCAATCCCCTTTTCTCTGGAAGGATCTCAATACTTAAAACTGTCTTCTTCTCCTTGGATCAGATTGCTGAGATGAATGGAAAGATGATTGTAACAAAGCCGCTCTATGTCGCTCTTGCACAGCGGAAAGAAGACCGCAAAGCTAGGTTACAGGTCTGGTTTAACTTAATCATGTGTTTAAATTTAAACAAAGATTGACGTAATCCGTTTCTCATCCTACTCGATTTTCACTTTCTTGCATTTTAGGCTCAGTTCTCACAGATGAGGCCACTTAATATGCCACCACCTGCCGTTGGTCCAAGAATGCCAATGTATCCACCACCAGGTGGTCAACCAATGGGTCAACAACTCTTTTATGGCCAAGGACCTCCTGCTATGATTCCTCCTCAGGTAAAGGTCAAAGTTTTTAGGTAAAACATGTGAAAACCAATCATATATATAACTCATCTTCTCCAATGGATATCAAACAGGCTGGATTCGGCTTTCAACAACAGCTTGGACCTGGTATGCGACCTGGTGGGTCCCCAATGCCAAACTTCTTCATGCCGATGATGCAACAAGGCCAGCAGCAGCAGCAGCGACCTGGTGGTGGTAGAAGAGGAGGAGCTCTTCCGCAACCACAGCAACCTTCTCCTATGATGCAGCCGCAGCAGGTTAAGTATTGTTTGCAGCAATTGTGGCTTTTGAAATCATTAGCATTCTTACATTTTGCCTCCATCTGCGTTTTGTCCAGATGCATCCAAGAGGTAGAATGTATCGGTACCCACAGAGAGATGTGAACGCAATGCCTGGTCTTACTCCAAACATGCATTCTGTCCCATATGACGTGTCTGGTGGTGCTGCTGCTGTGCATCTTCGTGATTCATCTGCTTCTCAACCTGTTCCTATTGGAGCTTTGGCTACATCACTCGCCAATGCAACTCCAGAGCATCAGAGAACGGTAAAATAAAAATGTTGTTTTGTTGTTTAGTTTTAATGGCGAAAACACATGGTCAAGTTTGTTTTACTTAAAACTGTTCTTCGTTTTCTACAGATGCTTGGTGAGAATCTGTACCCGCTTGTGGAGCAGCTCGAGCCTGAGTCAGCCGCTAAAGTGACGGGAATGCTTCTCGAGATGGACCAAACCGAAGTACTTCACTTGCTGGAATCTCCTGATGCGCTCAAAGCTAAAGTTGCAGAGGCGATGGATGTTCTGAGGAGTGTAGCTCAGCAGCAGCAAGCCGGTGGAGCAGCAGCTGATCAGTTGGCTTCTCTGTCTCTTGGAGACAACAGCGTTCCTTGAGTTCTAAGTTATACCTGAAAGACCTCAGTTTATATTCTCTTTTTTTTAGTGTCCTTTTGGAGTTGTTCTTGAAAGTTTTGGATTTTGAGTTTTTGTTTTTGCCTTTTCGTACTGTCTTTTTGATCTTTATACTTTGGGAAGTTTTGGATCGTTTCTCTCACCTTTTTTTTTTTTTTATCTATACAATTCTCATTGGATAGGTCTTTTTTTAATCTTGTTTGGCTTGTGTTAGGAGTTTTATGCTTGTTCATTCAGCATAAAACGTTTGGTTTAAAGCGTTTGATGATCAAAGCAACAACAAAATGCAGCATGAAACATTTTGTTTTTTCAGATGTTATCCCATTTACAAGAAGAGGAGTTGAAGGAGATTCAGATGGAGAAACCACTGACCTTTATAGGCACGGGTTATTGGCTTTATACCTTCATCATTTCGACATGTTATATTTAGAAAACACTATAATTTACAACAAAAATAATATACTTCTATTGAAAGGGTTTTTTGTTTTAAAACATTACTTCTATTGAACCTTTGAAACCATTCGACTTTTAATAAATAACTAGATAAAGTTAGTTTTTTCGAGAGTATATTGTCTTGTAAATCTTTGAATAAAAATTAAGCAAATTTATAATGTTTTATATGATTATATTTACTAATGATTATATTTACTCATGTTTTTTTATTAAGGTTTTTCTCATTTTTTAATTTTTGAAATCGTAAAATAATGATGGTTCATGGAAAGATGATGTTTTAAATACAAATTTAGGTTGGTATAGTGTATATACAGCTACTAGAAATATTTTAATGGGTGCTGGAAGAGTTTAACACCTCTGCACACAGAACTAGAGTCACTAATATGGGCAGTGCACTATATGTGGAAAGATAAGCAGTGTCTTTTCTCACTGATAGTTCAGATTTATTGAAGATGGTATCTAATCCAGAGGGCTGGCCAGCATTCTACATCTAGAGGAATTTGAAGTCCCTGTTAGTGATGGGTTTAGCACCCCTTGCTGAAAGCCCTTCACAAATTGAGACAAGGCACATTTGAAGCCCTACCTCCATTTCCGAGTTTAGGTCGGCGTCCAAATATGAAAATATCCGAAGATATATTTGTATCGCAGAAGAAAAGGAAAGAAGATCCCGAGAAGAAAGGAAACTATCCTAATCCCGAAAGAGAAAGATTATTCTCAAGGCGGTCTACGGAGGCTATATAAGAGGAGCCCCCTCCCTCGAAGATGATTCATTCACAACTTCGAACTTGAGACCTAGGGCAATTAATAGCTTACTGCTTCCAGTTTTAGATCTCGGTTTTTTACTCAGTAAACTTAGGTCGGCGTTCTTTTCCGACGACCTAAAACCCCTTGTACACTTCGAGCTCCGGTTAATAATAAAAACAACTTTATCTTTTCCCCCACAAATCTTTATATTTTCTTTAGAGGAGATATCCAGATCTTACAATTGGCGCCGTCTGTGGGGAACAAAAGATACAAGTTCGTCTACTCACGTCGGAACTCGAAGATGTCCACGGAGAAGCGATTCACTGAAAATACCATCGACGATACGATCATCCAACCACCCGCCCAAAATCAGGTCGGGAACAACCCCAGGATACCGCAAACGTCCAAAAGCACGGGACGACAGATGAGAGCAACCTTCCGCCAGTCCGGAGCTCCCTCAACACGACGGGCACACTCCCGCCCCCTCCGCCAGCCCGGAGCTCCCTCAACACAACAGGCACACTCCCGCCCCCTCCGCCTCCACCCGCACCAACGGACATCACCGCCATCCTACAATCATTCATGGCACAGATGGATAACAAGATGAACGACCAGATCGGGGCTCTCAAAGCTCAGCAGATCGCGTACCTGGAGACATTACGGGAACCCCGACCCGAATCTCTAACGCAAGACGAGGACACCGAGACCGGCACTCCCAGAGCCATCCATATACCCCCGGGCACCACCGCATCCGGAGCCAAGCACCTAATCTTCGGCGAAACACCCACCCCAGCACGGGGCAGCGACCACCAGCACGTGAAGGACTCCAGCGCGCGATCTAAGCACAAATCTCGCCTGTCCGACCCGGACTCTACCCCCCCACGAGACCCCCGAGCAAGCCGAGCTCACCCGTCTCCACCAGAGGATCAACGAAATCAAATCTCAAGTCCACCATGCGACTAGCTCGGCCCCCTAGCTGGAGAAGGTCCTAAAGCTTACTCAACAGACACCGTTCACAGACTGTATCACCCGCGTACCCCTCCGAGACACCGTGAAACTGAAGCTTCCAGTGTCCTTCGTCGGCAACACGAACCCACAAAAACATCTCACGACCTTCAATAACGCGATGAACCGAGCCCGGTTCTCAAAAGAAGAACACGACGCCGCTCTCTGCCAATACTTCATGGAATCCCTTGCCGGAAACGCCCTCCAGTGGTTCTCCAAGCTCAAACCAAACTCCATCGAGACGTTTGCCCAACTCTCGTTGGAATTTCTCTGGCACTACTCCATGTATATCGAGCGAGTAGGCAACACCGCCGAACTCTGGACATGTATCCAAGACGAAAAAGAAACCCTCCGCGACTACATCGGCCGTTTCCGCGCCGTCGTCGCACGATGCGACCCGACAGACGAAAACGCCCTGATAGCACTCGGCCTAAACCTTCGCAAGAACCAAAAGTTCTACGATAAGGTGACAACAGGCAAAACCACATCACTCGACGAACTCCGACATAAAGCCACCAAATTCATGAATCTGGAGGACACACAAGCCAGGGAAGATGAAAAACTCGCGGCAAAGAAGAAATCCACCAGCTCCCGACCAAAAGAAGAGGAGTACCAGGAACCTCGCCAACACTACGTTCGCGACGACAAGGCTCGCAAAGTCAATGTCTCGACCATCACCCGACCTCACCCATGGAACAAATGGGTAAACTCCTCGGGCAATACCTCTGGATCGCAACCATATTGCACCTGGCACAAGCGCTCCGGCCACCTTCCAGACGTCCTCATGCAAGAATGGCTGGTCGATAGGATCAAACTGGATGACCGACTACGCGTTGGATATTTACGCCGACCCCGTGCTGATCAAGCCCGCCCTCGGGCTGACGACCGACGCGCCCCCACGCATCAGGAACAGACCCGTCCTGACGAGAACCCCAAGCGTGCACGGGAGGACTCGCCTCCACCACAACCAGCACTCCCGTCACCTCGACGCAGGATCAACATGATCATCGACGGCCTCCTTACATGCAACGACTCGATCAACTCGATCAAAAAGCATGAACGCCGAGCCACGAACGCCAAGAAGGAGACGCCGGTCCACGACGACACCCTGCCCATCACTTTCACGGAAGCAGACGCCGAGGGTCTCGACCGCCCGCACAACGACCCGCTCGTTATCTCCCTCCGTATCGGATCGGACGATGTCTCGAAGATCTTGGTCGACACAGGCAGCTCCGTCGATCTCATATTCAAGACCACACTAATCCAGATGGGGATCAAAGACAGCGAGATCAAAGTCGCCCCGAAAGCACTCACGGGCTTCGCTAGCGACTCCACCTCGACTATCGGCACAATCAAACTGGCCATCACGACCGAGGGAGGCATCGTCACTATGATCAAATTCGATGTCATCGATAGACCGGCCATTTACAACGTCATCCTCGGGACGCCTTGGATCAGTACCATGCGAGCTGTTACTTCACTATATCATCAATGTCTGAAGTACCTGGGCAGAAAGAGAATCATCACGATCAGGGGCGACCAGTGCGAGTCCCGGTCTTGCTACATCGCCGAGCATCGAGTCCGGCACTCGTCTACATTCGTTATCGATAATATGGACCCCCGAGTCATGCATCACGAGAAGCCAAAGAACGACCTGGTCGTACAAGTAAGCATCGACATTGAGCACCCCGAACGATGTGTCGGAATTGGTACCGAGCTTCTTCCCAGCATGCGCGACGACCTCATAGCCTTCCTCCGTGAGAACGTCAACACATTCGCATGGTCATTGGCAGATATGAAGGGGATCAGTCCAACCATCACCAGCCACGAGCTGAACGTCGACGTTACGTTCAAAACCATCAAACAGAAGAGACGCAAGCTCGGTCCCGAGCGAGCTCAAGCCATCCACGATGAAGTCGAGAAGCTACTCGCCGCCGGATCAATTCAAGAGGTTCAATACCCGGGCTGGCTTGCCAACCCCGTGGTAGTAAAGAAGAAGAACGGCAAATGGCGCGTTTGTATCGACTTCACGGATCTCAACAAGGCCTGTCCTAAAGACAGCTTCCCGATGCCTCGCATCGATCAACTCGTAGAAGAAACTGCTGACAACGAGCTGCTATCCTTCATGGATGCATTCTCGGGGTACAATCAGATCATGATGCACCCCTCAGACCGGGAAAAGACCTCATTCATCATGAATAGAGGAACGTACTGCTACAGAGTGATGTCGTTCGGACTCAAAAACGCCGGCGCTACTTACCAGAGGCTGGTTAACAAGATGTTCGCCGACCAGCTCGGGCACACAATGGAGGTCTACATTGACGACATGCTTGTCAAGTCACTAAAGGCCGACCATCACATCACCCACCTGCGCGAATGTTTCCAAATCCTTAACACCTATGGGATGAAGCTGAATCCCGTGAAGTGCACTTTCGCGGTCACATCCGGTGAGTTCTTCGGTTATCTGATCACTCAACGAGGCATAGAAGCAAACCCGAAGCAAATCTCAGCCATCCTCTAGCTACCCTCGCCATGCAACACACGTGAGGTCCAAAGGCTGACCGGACGGATTGCCGTCCTCAATTGTTTTATCTCCCGATCCACGGACAAATGCCTCTCATTCTACCAACTTCTCCGTAGCAACAAACGCTTCCACTGGGACGACAAGTGCGAGGAAGCCTTCCAACAACTGAAGCTTTACCTCTCAACGCCCCCCGTGCTTGCAAAACCCGAAGATGGCGAAACGCTTTATCTATACGTGGCATTATCAAGCTCGGTCATTAGCGGTGTTCTCGTCCGAGAAGACCGTGGTGAACAGAAGCCGGTCTTCTACGTTAGTAAGAGCCTGGACGGTGCGGAACTTCGATACCCGACCCTAGAGAAGCTCGCCCTCGCAGTAGTCGTATCATCCCGGAAACTGCGCCCGTACTTCCAGTCTCATACGATAAACGAGTCAGCCTCTTCGGACGATCCTCCACAGCTCGACCCAATCCGGTCAGATGGCCAAGTGGACAATCGAGCTTTCTGAATTCGACATCGACTACCGCACCCGTACCTGCGCCAAGTCCCAGGTTTTGGCTGATTTTTTGGTCGAACTGCCACCAGAGCTCCTCAGCGACGACCTCACCACGGTTCAACACTGGAATCTTCACATGGATGGCTCATCCAATCGACATGGTTTGGGAGTCGGGATACAGCTCGAAGCCCTGACTGGCGAAGTCCTCGAGCAGTCATTCCGATTGGAGTTTCCGGCCTCCAACAATGAAGCCGAGTACGAAGCCCTCATCGCTGGACTACGACTCGCTCGCGGCATGAACATCGAAC